GACACACCAAGTAGCTCACAAGTAATTTTTCTGTCTTGAGAAGCACCTGGTTGTGGCAATACTTGATCATAGAAGTACCTGTAGACTTTGTGATGTTCATGTGCTCCTTTATCTTGGCTGCATCCTTCTTAATTGTCCTGATCGTAGACTCGTTAACACAATGCTGGCGAGCGAGATCAACCTGTCTTGTTCCTTTCTCCAACTCTTGTATGATCTTATATTTAATTTCGTAGCTTAAGGAACGTCGTGTCTTCTTTGGCTTAAGGCGGCTGGGTCCAGGTAATGCAAGGTTTCTTTGTGGTGGTGGTGGTGGTCCGGTGGAAGCCATTCTTATGGAACAATGGATACCGATATACACGGTGTAGCCTGGAGGGGTGTAACTGACGCGGTAGGTCGAGGGGCTTGAACGCTCCCGCGGCGGGGCACGTCATAGTACTACATTAAACCAATCACAGCTAGCAGGGAGGGAGGTAAGGATGCTTTGCCCAATCACAGTCCGCTACGTCATATGACGTCACCGATAACGCAACAAAGACATACACTGCGCAACCTACTCGCGCCGCTAACACAACATGGTGGATGGCGGGAGGTTTGGATCCAAAAATGGCGCGGCGCGAGAGGACCGCCAGCCGCTCTTCGCGTAAAGGGGTACACGCACCGCGGAAAGTGAGCATTCCGGTTTCGGCAGGGTACCGCGTAAAGCGAGGGTTGAATATATATATATATATATATATATATATATATATATATATATATATATATATATATATATATATATATATATATATATATAGTTAACCCTCACTTTACACGGTCCCGCATTCCGCGTTTCCACGTTAACGCGGTGCCTTGCCAGAACCTCACGTGCTCCTCCCTCCGCTTGGGCAAGCGGCGCGGTAAGGTTGCGCAGTGTGTGTCTTTGTTGCATTATCACTGACGTCATATGACGTATCAGACCTGTGATTGGCCATATATCCCTACCCCCCTCTGCTGCTAGCTGTAATTGGCTTAAAGTATTATGATGTGTCCACCCCGGGGAGGGAGGGAGGAAAGACGACGCTTGACCTAGCCGCGGCAGTTTCATCCCTCAAGGCCACTCCGTGTAAACGCGCATCCATTGTTCCGTAAAATGGCTTCCGCCGGACCACCACCCCCAGAGAAAAACCTTTCCTTACCTGGACCCAGCGGCACTAAACCAAAGAAGACACGACGTTCCTTAAGCTACGAGGTGAAGTATACCATCATCCAAGAGTTGGAGAAAGGAACAAGGCAGGTTGATTTGGCGCGCCAGCATGGCGTGAACGAATCTACGATCCGGACTATAAAGAAGGATTCAGCCAAGATAAAGGAGCACATGAAGATCACAAAGTCTACAGGTGCTTCTATGATCAAGTATTTTCACAACCAGGTGCTTCTCAAGACAGAAAAATTACTTGTGAGGTACTTGGTGCATCAGGCGCGACGGAACATGGCGGTCGACACGCGCTCTGTGAAGGACTACGCACTTGAACTGTACATGGCAGTGGCACGAAAGATGGGAACTTCAGAGCCCAAACCCTTTACTGGTTCCTCTGGGTGGTTACAGAGGTTTAAGATCCGGAACAAGATCACCAATATAAACATTGGTGGTGAAGAAGCGAGTGCTGATCGTGCTGCGGCTCGGGAATTTCCTCCGTTTTTACGTGAGATTATGGAGGAAGGACAGTACAGTGACGACCAGGTGTTTAACATGGACGAATCTGGTCTTTTCTGGAAAAAACTACCTTCCAAGTCCTACGTTGTGAAGAATGCCAGCAGGATTCGGGGCCGGAAAATGCAGAAGGAACGCATCACCGTCCTGTTTACCACCAATGCCTCCGGTACCTGTAAGCTCAAGTTATCGGTGATCCACACAGCCCGCAAGCCGCACGCCTACAAGAGCATGGACATGACCAAGCTAAATGTCCACTGGCTGACAGCACGTAAGGCATGGATGTTCTCTACACTGTCCCTCTCCTGGTTTGATGACTGTTTTGTTCCCGATGTAAAGAAATTCTGTGAGCAACAGAATGTCCCATTTAATATTTTGTTGCTGCTGGACAACGCACCAGGACACTCGCCCCTACTGTTAGATCGTCACCCCAACGTAAAAGTGGTCTTCCTTCCTCCCAACACTACGTAAAAGTGGTCTTCCTTCCTCCCAACACTACGTCTTTAATCCAGCCCATGGACCAGGAGTTGATTTGCAATGTGAAAGCTGCATTCTCAACAAAAAAATTCCAGCTCCTGAACGACTACACCAACACCAGGGAAGAGTTGCGTGACCTGAGTGACACCACCACCGATAGCAAGAGCGACGAAGATGAGGAACAACGGTTAGAACAGCAAAAAATACTCTTCAAACAATTCTGGAGAGTATTTAACATCAAGAAAGCTGTGGACATCTTGGTGGAGTCATGGGATCAGCTGTCTATTGCTACAATTCGTCACGCATGGAGACATGTGTTGCATGGAATACCAGGTGAGAGGAGGAGTCAATCTGTGACTGGTGAGGTTCAGAATGTTGCAGTAGCAGTGGACCTTGCCAGACCTTGCCAGAGAAGCTGCGCAGACTGTTACAGTTCCAGGCTTCTCCGAGACCACCAACGACGACATCCTGGAGGTGATCAGAAATCCTGAAGTGACTGCCGACGAGATGTTGGAAGAAGAACACGTCAGTGAAGAGGAGGAAGAAGGTGCGGCAGTCTCCGAAGAACACAATTTAAGTCATAGTGATATTAAGGGTGCCATGGAGTGTGCAGAGAAGATGAAGTCCTTCCTTTCCCGCGACAATGACGATGACCGCTATGAAGTCTTCCATAACCGGCTGGTGCAGGCTATGGAGCCGTACATCAAGGTGTATCACGACAACATCAACGCCAGCCGTCAGCAAAGCATAACAGATTTCTTCACCCGCAACCCACCACAGCCAGCCCAAGCCAGTGATAGTGACAGTGAAGTTGACTTTGAGGGATTTGTCAGGGAAGCCCTGACAACTGTAAGTGACAGTGATGATGATTCACCTAGTAATGGTGATTCACCTGAGGGCCAGTAATCTGCCCTCTGCCTCGGAACCAGCCTCCATCCCCGTATGCCGACCCATCTCTTCTACTACCGTAAGTGTTCCACCTAACTTTTAGTTTCTCTAAGGTAACCTTCATTTTTCCTATGTTAACCTTTATCTTTCCTAACCTAACCTCTTCTATATTACTTGTTTTTTCATACCATCATAAAGTTAAGATAAAATTTTACTGCAACATAGTTATGTGTCGTCAAAAAGTGGAGTTTGGGGATCGGCCTGGACTCCATTTCAATTAATCCCATATGTTATGTTGTTCACTTTACGCGTTCCTCACTTTCCGCGGTACCCTCCGGGTTACATTAACCAAGAATGTGAGACCCAACTATGTGTATGTATGTATGTATGTATGTATGTATGTATGTATATGTATGTATGTATGTATGTATGTATGTATGTATGTATGTATGTATGTATGTATGTATGTATGTATGCATGTATGTGTATGTATGTATGTATGTATGTATGTATGTGTATGTATGTATGTATGTATGTATGTATGTATGTATGTATGTATGTATGTATGTATGTATGTATGTATGTATGTATGTATGTATGCATGTATGTATGTATGTATGTATGTATGTATGTATGTATGTATGTATGTATGTATGTATGTATGTATGTATGTAATGTATGTGTATGTATGTATGTATGTATGTATGTATGTATGTATGTATGTATGTATGTATGTATGTATGTATGTATGTATGTATGTATGTATGTATGTATGTATGTATGTATGTATGTATGTATGTATGTATGTATGTATGTATGTATGTATGTATGTATGTATGTATGTATGTATGTATGTATGTATGTATGTATGTATGTATGTATATGTATGTATGTATGTATGTATGTATGTATGTATATGTATATATATATATATATATATATATATATATATATATATATATATATATATATATATATATATATATATATATATATATATATATATATATATATATATATATATATGTTAAGTCTCACATTACGTGTTAATGTAACCCGGAGGGTCCCGGAAAATGAGGAACGCTGTAGAATGAATAAATATAACAGCTTATATATATATCGCTGCCACCAAATGTGATAGCTGTTTTGGTATCACATTACTGTAATTGTTTTAATTAAGTTCTGGAACTCTTTAAGTGGCTGGGTTTGATGTAAACACTTATAGCTGTTTTCTAGGGTTCATTACAGAAGCAGCTATATACATATTTATAATCCAAGAGAATAAATTATGAATTCTCTCCAGGGATGTGATGTGAATACAATTTGAGATAACACTTGAGTTACAGGTCTCTTCCCTGTTCAAGTGGTAAGAATCTACTGGCACTGGCCTCTCCCTGTCTGAGAGAGGTGTGGGAGTGACCCAGCTGTTTTGATTAATCAGCTGACCTGCATTCTACCCTTGAGATTGTCGCAAGCCCAGCTGTCTGCTGTCAACAAGAGGTTGGCTCATTGTTGAATAACTTGGTGTTATTCATCAGGGTGAATATTTATATAAAGCAAAGGTGCTGTTACAATGTCACCTCACAGTATCTTTAAATACTTGTTTATTTATTTTGTCTTATGTAAATTGCTGGAGTTTGACAAGATTTATTTAAAAAAAGTATTTTCTAACCATGAAAACTTCCAATTTTGTTAATTAAAATTTGTCTTCCAAATCGAAAACTCATTCCCAACTTTTTGGATTCTGTTAAAGCAAATTTCCTTAACTAGTGGGATACCTGTACAGTACAGTATTTATTGATGTATAACTATATACTGTGCTATACTGAACAGCAGTACAGTACTTGGTGTTCATTTAATGTTAAAACTTAGTTTGAATTATTTTTCCTTTCACTGTTATGGAGAGTAGACCGTAAATAGCCTTTTGGGGAAAAAAAAAAGTTACTAACATAAGAAATACTTTATTATTTACATGATATATCTGTAAAACAGCAAACTGTGCATGTGTTATTTATTATTCATTTACTTATTGTAGATACAATCTTGGCATAGATTTGAAATAAGACTGTCCTTTTGTACAGCTTTTGGGTTCCTCTACACCAGGCGCCCAAACACGGAAATGATACCACTACTTAAGTCATAATAAATAAGGTCAGAGAGTATGGGTTATAGGAAGGACACTTTCTGTAAGAGATGGTCTTGTATGTTTGAGTGTTTGTGTGGTTGGGGGAAGTCTCGGCCACACTCCGAGCACCTCCACACCCCAGCCATCCTCATCCAAGGCTACACACAGTTACTGTGTAGGTGGGAGGATGCGGTAAAACTGGGATCACTTCTATAACAGAGGAGTGGCAATGTACCATTAAATCTATGCGAGGGGAAATCCTAAGTGATGTGAAAATGGTGGATGGTCGTGAGATGGAGGGGTGAAGGACACAATTATCTGGAAAAGTAATGAGCCCAGAAGTGAGAACTAAAATCTAAATAATATGAATGTAAAAACTTGGACAACAGATTACAATATTAAGGTCAAAAGCCAACAGACAAGTGGAGTTAGAATATGTCAGGAGAAAATTAACAGAATGGAAGTGCAAATTATTGATGATGACAGGAAAGATTAAAGCAGAAAATGGGTAGGTCAGGTCAGGTTAGATCAGATGAGTGAATCATGTTGAGGGTTGGGACTGTGAAGAGTGGTAACTCGCACATAAGAGCAGGATTCCCTTACCTGCCAAGGCCTGGCCACTGGAAGGCTCTGAGGCACAGTCTTGATCCATAGTAAAAACAATAATTCACTGGCGCCCCATTAATGCAGATCAACATATTGTCACACTTGGAGGGAAGAACATAACTTGGGAAAGTCTATAAGTGGGATTTACCCAGTTCCTTAGTGGAACAGAGTGAAGATGTTTGAAAAGTTATAAGTACAAGAGAGAATTTATTGTTAATGCTAGTTTAAAAAAGCAATAAGAAGACTTGCATGGGGCGCAGAATCCACTATACTCGTGGAAGGATATTGTACTGTGTTAGCATTACTACTCACTTACATATCACATTTCTACATTGTCCTTAACATTGGAAATATATCCATAATAGTTACTCCATATTTCTCTTTAACTGACTCAGAGCCTGTGGGAACTGCATAATTTTGTGCATATTTCTGTTTAACGGAAGTCTTAACCACATATCAATACGTCACTATCGAACCTGAATTTATCCTGGTCAACGAGTAAAGCAAGAGTGAGCGGCAGCAGCATAATTCACTAACCCAGCTAGTGCTATCCAGCCAGCCAGCATCAACTGCCTGCTTGGCCACACACAGTCCAGTCACCTTATAAACTTGATCCTGGCAGTTCAGCTGCCCCATTTCACCAGGGACACAAATTCTAACTCCACCAAAATATACTACATAATGGAACATTTGTAATGTGTAAACAAACAATGTTAGTCACTGGTTCAAGTCAACCATTTACCAACAGTTAGTTAAGATCATCTTGGCCAATATGGCTTAACAAACATATTTGAGAATGAACAATATGAAAGAAAAGTGACAACGCACAGAATGGTGGTATCGTCCAGTGCTCGGGCATACTAGGAAGACAATTTGCTTACACAACAAGAGGAGCTTGTGTCCCTAGTGAGGTTTCAACCACCTACCCACATCAACCACCTCTGGTTACCACCTGCTATCAACATGGTAAGCGATCGTGACAAAAGGAAGTACAACTTTACAGTAACAAAATTTGTGTAAAAGAAAAACTATCACTCGTACCTGTCTTCTTGAACGTGAAGAAAATGCCTGTAGTTCAGGTGAAATACCTACTCAATGAGATGAAAATATTATACAATATATGAATAATATTCCATTATAAAGTATGAAATGATATGAATGAGTGAGAAAGAGTGACAAGGCAGAAAGAAATGAAGACACCTAGTTGTAGTTGTGTTGATTATTTCATCACAGAGAACAGGGTTTGTGATTTATCCAAACAATATGGGAGGACTTCAAATAAGCCAGCTGCCAGTGCATCTATTATAAGGGACGGGAAAAGACAGCCCACTCATGATCAATGTCCAGTGGCAACCAGAGTAAAGGAGATATAAAACAGACAACCATAAGAAAAAAGTAAAAATGACCTTCATCTGTGAATGAGAATAAATCTCATATAGGTTTGTGACAAGAAAATAATTTAATGCATTCATGGTTCAATATAATTTAGGACTACAAGTACAAATATCAACTTTATATCATCTATAACGAGCATATGAGCATCCATAAAATTAAGTATACTTAACAATATTGCCCTAAAAGGACAAAATAATTGAAAACATTGCCATACATTTGTCATTATCAACTTTCGTTACTTACAAAAGTTCAAGGTTTTCGTGGGAATTTAACCCCAGTACAAAGTACTATATCATTAACATATTTATGTCAGTACCATTATTAAATCTCAAAATATGTACAAAAATATACATCTGGCAGGGAGTGTGTGCTCAGTTACATGCCACAATATATTATTTAAGTTGCCAAACAGGCCAGCAGAACCAGGTAGGAGTACAATGGGCACAGCAGGTGCAAAGCAACCCCTCAGGAGCACAACCTTTGACTTTACACCACTGCCTCCATTTCTTGGACCACACTTACTCAGGAGATGGCATGTCCTACAAACCACTCACAATTCAGCATTATTGCCATTAATGCATTTCCTGAGGTGTAGAAATTAATTTTCTTCACGGTCTCACCTCCCCACAAGAGGTATTACAGTCTCTGTATCAAAGTTACTTCACTGCTGGCCTAAAAAGAGTGAATCTTTTTCCAGTTTTCTTCAAGAATCACTATGCGCCAAAGAGTCTACAGCTACACAGCTAAAAAAGAGATCTCTATTGGTCAGGCAACCAACTTTGATACTTTACCCAGTGTCATGATCAATATCCAAGATGTTGATCTGGCCATATACTAGAACTACTCTCAAGTACCATAACATAGGAGTGGTTTTGGAGCACTTCTCTGGAGAATGGCCATGAATGCACTTTAACATCATAAGAGCACACAAGGCATTGTCTTCACACACATGGACCTCTCAGCAAATTTGTACATTTTGGGTGGGAAGTATAACACAAAAATAATAATAATATAATAATAACAATAGTATAATAGTAATAATAATAATAATGATAATAATTATAATAATAATAAAAACATTGAGACTATTTGTAGAAAACCATCAATAACTAAATTTAATGATAAGGCATCACAGTTGTCACACCAGGAAGCCAAATATTTGGGATCTTGGGCCCCCATACTGTACATAACCAGCAGGATATATCGTTAGCCTCATGTATTTGCCACACTGACTGTAGTACTTGTTAGCTACTATTATCTTATACTTTCCATCTCAATGAGATCTGAGAACAACCTATAAAAATTTCACTTAGCACTGCACTACAGTACTGTACACTACCGTATCTATCAAAACTTATGAGAGTTATTTCCTTGAGTATCTGGATCCTGTGGTAAGAGTTGCTTCATAAGACGCTATGTATATGTAAACTTCTCAGATGACAAGGCATAGCGAGCTGTGCAGGAAATCAGGCTTCTTGAGATTGCTACACCAGAGGTTCCATTATACTGAATCTCTTTATATTTCTTCTCCCAAAGTTGTGCTGGGGCAGGGGGTTGGATGTGGCCAAGCAAACCCTGGGTGTGAAGAACAGTGGTGGCAGAACCTAAATGTGCACCGTAGCAGCTAGTCCTTGAGTCGGTGGAGGCCATACTGCACGTAACACACAAGCTCGTACAGGGAAGAGTGGAGGGTCAATGGACTAACATGACGGTCCAGCTCTATGAAGAAATCTGTAATAAAAATTAAAAAATTTAGTGTGAATAAATGACACATCAACACTATTTACTGTATATGGTCATATTTATAAGCGATTGAACTAGAAATCAAAGTTATAAAAGTACGATTGGGATGAGTTCCTGAAAAACCGATTGTTAAGTGAAATGATCGCTAAACGAGGGGTAGTAAAAAATAATATTCTAAATGAGAAATAACATGAAATAATATCCATGGAGATGGCATGTAATTGTGTTGCTGAGTTGCAGCCTCGCCACCCAGTAGCACACAAGAGTGGGTGAGGCCGAACTCGTAATTTTGGGTAGATATACGTAATTTTCATCATTATCTTTTACCGTTACATACACACAGTTGTTCATACAGATTGTGAGAAAAAAATAATAATAATAATTATGATAAGGTCAAAAACATAAAGCAGTTAATCCACAGAGCAGGGGAGGGGGAATGGAAAGGAGAAGAGGGGAGTGGCAAGGGGGATCTCTCTCTCAGCTGTTCTCTGTCTTGTATCCCATGAAATGATTGCCAAATGGCAGTGCAGTTTTTCTTTTATTTCATATATTATTATTTGTATTTATTCCTCACATATATTGGTACATTTTACACACAGAACAGTTCATCCAGGCAGTCCCCAAGCTGACCCAAGAGACGTGCGTGGCTGCTGCCTGTATGCCGTGACTACACATGGGGGTGCAGCTGGCCACAGTTACAGTTAAATGCCTCAATACATACGTTCACTTCCAGCACATACACACCCATTCTCTTCATTTTTCTTATTTTATAGTTTTGCAGTATACTCTATACTGTACTGTATTTCTAAGCCACATAACAGTATTCTACGATGCACACTTGGAGCACAGAATCCCCAGTTTTTCAATTTCCCTCCCAATCGAAGATTACCGAACCAAAAATTAATAGTTGTTAAATGAGATAGGGTGTTAAAATTTTTATATTGAAAAATTGCTTAGTGAACGATTGTTAAACAAGAATCTGCCAGGATGAGTCTGAAGACTTCTGAAATAATACATGCATCTCGTGGTGTCCCGGGAGGGTTGGTAAGCATGGCTCTGTGGCATACTGATCCTACCACAGTTGTTAACTGAACATCATTTAAATCATGCCAAAATCAATGGAAATTTCATTACTGTACAGGTGCTCCTCTACTTACGAATGAGTTACATCCCTGAGGCTTGTTTGTAAGTCCAACTTTACTCTTGTAGATACCAAACATATTGTAAAAAATGAAAAGATTATGGATATTTAGTACAGCTATACCCTTTAATACAGCCTTAAAACCTGGCTCACTCTTCTCCTCTTAGGTAATGTTTGTTCTATCTGGAATATTCTTAAAAATAATCCAGTCTCATCCACATTAAACACCTGTTCTGACAGGTAACCCCCCCCCCCCTCAGTGATGATGTTTGTATCTCTGAAAGTTTGAACGTTCTTAAGTAGAGGAGCACCTGTACTTATATTAAACTGTACAGAGCAGGAATGCGCATATCCCAAATCAATCATCCATAGTCTCATAATGATTTACACAGTGTATGGACAGATACTTTTTTGAGATACTGTACATATAAAGTGAGTGTCTAGTATCTTTATAGTGAGTATCTCGTATCTTCTGTTATTTACTTCTGACCCTATCTACTGTTTCTGTCTACTATGCCATCTCTTTACACCATTCCCGACAAACTTAGGAGGAACACATGTTACCAGCAGTCATCAATGACTTCTACTGAGTAACATATATTACTTCAACTCCCATTTCATATCACTTTTCACCATACATTTATGTTTAACCCTGGGTGTTGGACTTCTCAAAACACGGAGGTGCAGTACAGTAGAAAAGTGAGAGTAGGTCCCATTAGCCTTTGGGGCAGTGTAGATACTGAGGGGTGTGAACCAGTGAGTGACTTAAAGTAGGAGGCAAGTGATGTGTTAATTTAACCATTGAAAAAGAAGACTCCCTCAAAGGTTGGAGACAATAGGTCATGTTATAGGCAAGACCCAAGGGCTAAAAGCTTCATTTATTACCCTAGGCATGAAGACAGTGCCCCTTTAAGAGCAAGCAATGATATCACTGGTTATCAAGGTATTCTGGAAACCCTAAATGATACTGTCAATTCTCTGGCCCATCCAATAACACCTGTTTGTTCTGCCTTCCAAGGGTACTACAGCTGCCACAAATCTCATTTGCATTCATATTTACCATATTTTATTACTTCATTGTCCATACACTCTCAATATACTTTTATAGATGCATGTTTTAAAGGTCTCATTCATCTTCCAAAAGATCCTTCATTATCAATTCTATAACTAGCAATACTACTACAGAACAGTACTACTTGCATGAAGATGACGGTGGAAAATCACGTGTATCTCTTAAGTAAATGCAACCTTTTTCTAAAGTTTAAGGCCTATTTTGGCACATTTAATCATTATTTAGTCATTCTGTAATAAAACAGTTGTATATTTAAAAGGATTTATCTATAATTTTCACCCATCTCCAGAAGCACCATGTTATAATGGTCTCTTTTAATAGATATTTCGCTTAGTGGACACACCCTCAAGAATGTAGCTCATCCATTATAAGAGTTACGATAGTACAGTAGTACCCCGGTTTACACGGTCAATTGAACCCACAGGGTACCGCGGAAAGTGGAAAGTGAAAACTGCATAAAGTGAACAACAGAACATATGGGATTAATTCCAATAGAGACTGGCCCGACCCCCAAACTCCACTTTTTCCGATACAATACCTATGTTGTAGTAAAAATAACATCTTAATTTTATGATGGTATGCTCACACAATTAATATTTTAGAGAAATACAGTCGCCAGGTTAATGTCCATTCAAATAATGGACTCAAATCCCCCCCCCCACCCTCTTCCCAGCTCACTAGCTCCTACTTCTCTGAGAAATGTTTGGGTGAAAACACTAGATTTTAACGTTTAGTAATAAATAATACCTCAGACTAAAATTAGGGTAATATAATTTACATTTCTGGATTCCCTGTAGGTCAGGGAATATTTTGAATGTAGACTTCATATATTTTGAACAAAAGATAAAATATTTGCTTTGTGTAAACCAAATTATTACATTAGATCTAAAATTTGTATGTCTAATGCAAAATCCATGATGTTTATATTCAAAATGATCATCATATTGTAAGAATTCCAGCAATGTAAATTATATTCGGCCGGGTAATTTGTATGAATTTTATGAGCTAAAACAAATATCTTCAGTAAATAAACAAAGAAATATTCTTCAAGGACACTACCTGTCAATCAAAGTACCCCACCTTGCCTCCCCCCCCTCCTCACACTCACACCAGCTGGGTCGGTCCCTACCCGAGAAATGTTTGGGTGAAAACACTAGATTTTAAAGTTTAGTAATAAATAATACCCCGAGACTAAAGTTAGGATAATATAATTGACATTTCTGGATTCCTTGCAGGTCAGGGAATATTTTGAATGTAAACTTCATATATTTTGCACAAACGATAAAATATTTGCTTTGTGTAAATCAAATTATTATATTAGATCTAAAATTTGTATGTCTAATGCAAAATCCATGATGTTTATATTCAAAATGATCATCATATTGTAAGAATTCCAGCAATGTAAAATATATTCTGGCCGGGTAATTTGTATGAATTTTATGAGCTAAATAAAAAAAAAAAAATTATACTTCACTGCGTATATGAGTAGATGCACCGCGGAAAGTGAAAGTCTGGTTCTGGCAAGGTACCGCGTAAATGAGAAATGTAAATGAGAAAGTGAAACCGTGTAAAGCTTTTACACGGGTATTACTGAATAGTATAAATAAATGTAAGAATTTTTTTCTAAGAGAAAGAAATTTGCAACAATTTACTTCTAAAAATAGCAAAAAATATCAAATTAATTATTCAAAATACTTACAATAGAGATAGTGTACTGTATATCCAACTACAGATAAAAAAGATGCTCGTGCCCCCACTGGCACAAAAACTGTGTAATACAACTTCAAAATATATTCAAGTATTGTACAGTAATTCAGAATACATATGGAGAAGCTTACACAATTTTAAAACTTCTGGGTAGATAGCTTTTGTTTAACCCTCTGCTGGAGAACAAGAGAGGAACAAAAGTCTGTTTGGTTGGATGTAAAGGAATAAATCAATGTACGACCTTGAACATGCAGTGGGGGCACAAGAACTATTTTAACACAGAGGGCTAACCTTGCATGCCGTTTTGAAAGACGTAATGGTCAGCTTCTATCCACATATCATGGGCTGAGGCAAGGTGGCTAGAGAGCTGGTTCTGCTTAATGATAAGGTTATGGATGTTAACAGGCACGGGTACAACAGGTACTGTGGCATGTGCCCCCTGAGGTGGTTGTGGATGAGGGGGTGTGTGGCCAACTGGGGGAGGAGCAATGCCTCCCTTAGAGCGGGTGCCCTCCGTGCTTGTGGTGTAGCCTGATGACTGGGAGCCTTCTGAGCCAACAGATCCAGCAGGTGAGGGGGTTTGAGACAAGTGGGAAGGAGAGCCAGTGGCTCGCTGACCCCCCCACTGCTGACCATTGCTGCCAGCTGTTTCCACACCTCCAGTTTTATTATAATTCTGTAAAAGAAGAAAAACAGTTTTACCAATAATGATCTCAAAATATAACAGTGCACTTTTTTATAACTTATACATTACTGTATGAGTAGTAATGAACATTATTACTGTTTGAAAGGAAGAAACATTTGGAGGGAAGATAGGAAGAGACAGGAGAGATCCTAAGTGAAAGGAAAATATGAGATAAAACAGAAATACCTGAAAGCAAAAAATAAGAAATATAATTTACAAAGTACATTACCATTAGTCTGAAATAGAATCAGTGTGTCACTTTTAAAACCTAAAAATTAAAAGATGGTTTATGGGAAAAGCATCATCGTCATTTTAAAACAATTGGCAGTTAGCGCCATGATTTTAAAGCTGGGCCCCAATAGTCATGCTAAGAATGGAAAGTTAATGGTTGGTAAACACTAGAGTGAGACACAAGGCTGGTGGAGCCTCAAATCAACTTGGTATTATTATCTTAGAATTATTTATGTTTCATCACCCTCCTCCTGACTTCGGTGGCACCTCACCCACACCTACAACACTACAGCCTGGCTCACCACCTACATAAGGGCTTACCACCCACTTTACACCACTACAACCACATTGTCACCACAACCACTTTTGCATCACAACAACAACTAGGGCTCAGCAGTTAATCTCTGCTGAGAGTTTTTATAGCTTCTAAATACCTGTACAGTGACCCCTCGGTTAACGAACTCAATCCGTTCCAGAAGATCGTTCGTTAACCGAAACCATTGTTTACAGATTAGGACCCAAATCCGCCGCAAACAGAGAGAAGCTCGGGAAGCAGCCATCCCCCTGGACTCCCCGCCCACCTGGTATGATGTCCTCCGTAAACTTCCTGACCTCTCGTACGTCTACGGGAAAGGGTCGCGGAAGGGGGACGTGATTGCTGCCCGTATCATCATTGGGTATGACTTTGCTTGGGAGATTGGTATCCCCACATCCCCTGAGCAACGCTCTTGTGCGTTTATGCAGAAGACCCGACAGCCGCACCCTTATTCACTACCTCCTAAGATGTCCCCACACACAACGCTTCCGTGACGCCTGCTGGACCACCACTCCACGACCCCCTGACGGAGACACGATGATTCTCCCAATACTGGCCAGATATTTTGTAAATAATATTAATTATGTGTTGAAGGAATATCCTTCCTTCCTTAGGCTTTAGTAAGCCCCTTTATAATATTTATACTGTATTTACTTTTCACACTTGCCAGATGATTCTGGTGTCATTGTACAGGGGTACCTAGTGACAGCACTAGGATCCCGCTTCCTCTATCAAGGAATAAACAATTGAAATTGAAATTGAAACCATTGTTTCAATGGGTTTTTGGGTAATTGGTTCCAGCTCTCCGAAAATTTCCTAAATTCAACAAAAATGGTAGAAAAGTTCACTTACTTTGAGGTGTGTATGTAGAAGGCTCCTGGATGATGATGATGATGGGAATTAGAATGGGGGGTGGAGGAGAAGGAAGAAGAGAAGGCATTGGGGTGGAAGAGAAGTCACCCCCATGGCACCATTTCACCCATAAAATTTTAGTTCTCTTGGTGTATTTCAAGATTATTTTCTTTAAATCAACACTGCACTGCATTATATATTGTCAATATGTAAAATATATTTCAAAATGACCAATAATTTGCTTGGAAACACAGAAAAAAAGCGTTTAGTTGAAGAGAGTCTCAAGCAAGATGTTACCTCCAGTGAAAACAGAGAGAAACTAACTCCTGAAGAGGCTGGATGCCGTGCATTAAACTAGTCACTTTACCTTCAATTATGTTCAATAATTGTTAAAATGACTAAAAAATTGAATATTAAACTTTTAAAATTATCGAATAGTATAAACTTCTTGATATTTACTAAAATAGCAAGGAATTTAAGCCCTAGAATCGATTAATGTATTGGCGGACTGATACTAAAGCTGGTTGCCCAGTCAATGCAAGCGAAAACATGTTGAGGTCGGTTCGTAAGAAATTCGTTAACCGAATTTTTGTTCGTTAACCGAATTGAAGATCCTTATGGAAGGCAGTTCGTGAACCGAAATTTCGTTAATCGAGGCGTTCGTTAAACGAGGGGTCACTGTACTGTATCTTCAATTTCATAAAAACACTATTTTATTTTAATTTTCATATACTGTAGTATGCCATTTTTGCTTATTTGCTGTGCTGCATGTGGTGTGCCCTTGATCTCCCAAATGCTGCAACAAGTCATTGGGTCAACTATGAACAACTTCATGGTGAAAAATTAATATTGTCTTTCATCCATGCATATACTGTACATCATCATCACTAGTTTATGAAGGCGAGTGTCCACATTTGGAATAATCATAATTAACTGATGGTAGTGTGTCCCAGTTGCCATCAGGCAAATTCAAGGCATGTTTTACAGCTGGATGCTGTTCCTACCACCAACCCACTTTTCCAGGACTTCCAAGTGCCTCTTAGCTGGCAAGGCTGTGTCACTACTCCTGAGGTAAGCAGAGACTACCCATATGTGTGGGTACAGAGAATTTACTTTTGGAAATTAAAAACTATTTATGTCAAAGAGTGAATTATTTCTTGGTGATTGGCCTAAGAGTAAATGTGCTCATTTTCAGTGACAACATCCTGGTGACTCATTAATAAGCACACTGTATGTGGTGTGTTATAATCTCTCCAGTGGTTATTGAAATACTGTACAATATTACCCCGCTTTATGCGGTTTCACTTTACGCGATTTCTCATATACGCGGTGCCTCGCCAGAACCAACTTTCACTTTCCCCGGTTCATCTACCCATATACGCGTGAAGTATAATTTTTTTTTTTATTTAGCTCATAAAATTCATACACATTACACCGGCCAGAATATAATTTACATTGCTGGAATTCTTACAATTTGATAATCATTTTGAATATAAACATCATAGAGTTTGCATTAGACATACAAATTTTAGATCTAATGTTTACTTTGAGTAAATGTTATCTTTTATGCAAAATATATGACATTTATATTCAAAATATTCCTGGTCTTACAAGGAATCCAGCAATGTCAATTATATTAACCTAACTTTAGTCTGAGGTATTATTTATTACTAAAAAGGTAAATATTCTGGTTTTCCCACACATTTATCTGGTAGGGAGGGTTGGTGGGGGGGTGGGGGGGAGGGAGGGACCGACTGGCCATCTGGCACGGTGTGAAGAATATTTTTTTTTTATTAACTGAAGATATTTGTTTTAGCTCATAAAATTCATACAAATCACCCGGCCAGAATATAATTTACATTGCTGGAATTCTTACAATTTGATGATCATTTTGAATATAAACATCATAGATTTTGCATTAGACATACAAATTTTAGATCTAATGTTTACTCTGAGTAAATATGTTATCTTTTGTGCAAAATATATGACATTTATATTCAAAATGTTCCTGGTCTTACAAGGAATCCAGCAATGTCAATTATATTATCCTAACTTTAGTCTGAGGTATTATTTGTTACTAAAAGTTAAAATTAGTTTTTTCACCCAACATTTCTCTGGTAGGGAGGGAAGGTGAGGGGTGGGGGGGAAGGGTTGGGACCGACCGACCATCTGGCGCGGTTGGAAGAGGGGGGGAGGCAAGTTGGGGTACTTTGATTGACAGATAGTGTCGTGAAGAATATTTTTTTTTATTAACTGAAGATATTTGTTTTAGCTCATAAAATTCATACAAATTACTGGACCAGAATATAATTTACATTGCTGGAATTCTTACAACATGATGATCATTTTGAATATAAACATCATGGATTTTGCATTAGACATACAAATTTTAGATCTAATGTAATAATTTGGTTTACACAAAGCAAATATTTTATCTTTTGTGCAAAATATATGAAGTTTACATTCAAAATATTCCCTGACCTGCAAGGAATCCAGAAATGTCAATTATATTATCCTAACTTTAGTCTGAGGTATTATTTATTACTAAACGTCAAAATCTAGTGTTTCACCCAATCATTTCTCAGAGGTAGGGGCCAGTGAGCTGGGAAGAGGAGGGGGGGGGGATTTGAGTCTATTATTTGAATGGACATTAACCTGGCGACTGTATTTCTCTTAAATAATAATTGTGTGAGCATACCATCATAAAATTTAGATGTTATTTTTACTACAACATAGGTATTGTGTCGGAAAAAGTGGAGTTTGGGGGTCGGGCCAGTCTCTATTGGACTTAATCCCATATGTTCTGTTGTTCCATTTACGCGGATTTCACTTTCCGCGGTACCCTGTGGGTTCAATTGACCGCGTAAATCGGGGTACTACTGTACTTTCTTTCACAACCTAGTTTAAGTGAGTTGTTACCCTAGTGTTTGTGTGATACAAAAGCTACAGTGTAGTACAATATTTAGAAGTGAAGCTCAGCCAAACATTAAATACTTCCTAGTACTGTACTGTACTCCCATTTTGTGATCTGCTGCAGTCATTGTCAAGACTGAGTCAGCACACTAAAGTAACACTATTAAGTAAAAGCTGTGACTTGCAGTAAATCTCTCATGCACTGTATGCACAATTTTCATGAGAAATGATGTTACAATGAAGAAAAAAAATACCTGTAATCTTCAAAAATATGAAGCTTAACATGAATGCTAACATGAAACTAAAGAATAAACAGTGTGTGTGTGTGTGTGTGTGTGCATGCATGCGTGTGTGCGTGCAGCCAGGAACGTTGGGGTCCCGTACATTAGAAACTTACCTGGAAGTATCTGTTGAGCTGCCTCTGGTTCTCCTTGTGCTCGATCCTCCTCATCTTGTAGATCTTTAGTGACAGTAAACTCTGACATCGCAAACTGCAATTGTAAAGCATAATATAATATAATATAATATAATATAATATAATACAGTACAGTATAATATAATATATAAACACATACATCATGTTCACATAAAAAATATATTTTCCTGCACTTCAACTTTTTTTGCATAAGTTGGTCATGCTTACTTTCTTGAGTTCATCAGAATGTAAAGAAAATCATGAAAGGTTTCAGTCTACCAACTCTCTCAACTGTTATACCAATTCATTCAACCAAGACAATAAACATAAACAGCAAGCCCTTGACTTGAACTAACATGTCAGTGACCTTATCTAACCTGGTACTGTATTGTATTAACAGTGTTAAAGCAGATATTGTACTGCACTCTAAAATTATCTCAGGGAGTTGTAATTCTGCCTAGCCAGCTGTTCCCACCCTGTGAGTTGGCATTACAAAAGGTACCCAACCATAAAACTTTGCTTCAACATGCCTGATGGCAGCCAGGTCTCTACTGCTTTTTCTGGGCTGGAGAGGTTTTCAGAAAAGCCAGGAGAGCAGTGGGTAAAAACAAGGTTGTTGTTGGTGAGCAGTGTGTGTGAGAAATGTGACCATGGTAATGTGGTTGTTGATAATGAGGAGTCATAACATACTGTACTGTATAGTATTTGATATGCAGATACATGATGGCTAGATTTGGCTACTTGTACAAGACAACTGATTAATAAATAAACAAGGCTATATGCAAGCACATATTATACAATAAAAAATTATTTATTAAGTGCTGAAGACAGAAGTTGTAGTAAGCATGACGACATGGTGAGGGACAGTGCGGGCAATCAGCTGTTTGCGTATGTAAACAAAGCTGCCGGGGTTTTGGGGGGTGTGGGAATTTATTATTTTACGAAAAATTTTTATTAACCAGGCACCAAATGAACTTAATATTCAAATTACGGTGAATTGCATACAGTCGTTTTAAAGGTGTCACGGCTTTGCTGGAACTGAGGAAGCAGGGAGGGGGTTGTCGCAGTCCTCCAGCCACTCACCCACCCTACCTCCCGCCTATCTCCACAAAGAATTCACACCACACTCTTAATTTTTCTTATTTTTTATTTCCTTTTCTTTATTGAAAAGATAACATTTGAGTATTGATATGAGATTTCCATAACTCTTAATAGTTTCTTACATAACAATGGCAAATGCACAGCCTTCTCACAGCTAACAAGTGCCTGTGTGTTATGGTGATTTCTTGACTCAATACAGCTCCTCCCCGACTTACGACCTGCCTCAGTCGTACCAAAATTTTGTCAAATTACATATTTTCGAGTCCCAACGTCAGTACACAGACAAAATTTTCGTTTGTAATTCACTTTAAAATGGCTGGCAAGCTTAAACGTGAGAGTTTTGTGGTGCTGAGAAGAAAAAGTGACACCCATTTTAGATTTTCTATGTATTATTTAAGCATTTTCGGCTTACGACCTGGATTTGGGTCCCTAACCCCGTCGTAAGTCGGGGAGAAGCTGTATTCTCCCACAAACAAAATATCCCTACACTTCTATTTTTTTTCATACAGTATATTGTATTTCCTTTATACATACGGCACACTAGCACATTGAGATGACTTTTATATGGTTACAAAACACAACAATGGCAGTCGCATTCAGTCGTGTGAGAGATAACTGACGTATTTAGGCATGGTAGGGCACTTTTATTACTTTTATTATGGTTCTTTTTACATTATATTAGATATTTGTAACACTAATTATGCATCATATTTGGATACATACAGACCTTGTATAAAACAGTGGATGATACAGATGATCTTGATGCGAAACATTTGACGTATAATGAAAATTTCTTACTTAATGTTAGTGACATATACTGTGCGTGAAATAACGTATACCGGTACAACGCATAGCAAGGACCCTCTGCATGCGGCTGATGTGAGAAGTGTGAAGTTGTATGTCAGTGAAACATGGGCAGTTAATGAGGATGACATCACTTACACAAGTGTGGAAAATGGTCATAAAATGATAACAATGAAAACCAATACCCAAGAAAATGTCTCCTGCCCCCCTTGAACCCTCACTGATAGGTCCAAGGATACACGCCCAACAAATAATCCAGAAGCATAAAATGTTTTCTATAATGAACAAGTTAAGATATTCTAACATTAAATTTAGTGGTTTGTAGAGAGGATATTCAGGTACTGGAATGCATCCCATTTCTTCCCCAAGCTGATAACTTCCACAGTCAAGTGTTCTTGAGCAGTGTGTCCTCACATGAGGGTTTACTGTACAGCACAGGGTAAATAAGTTCTGTTATTAAAAACACATACTCATTTTTAGTTTCAATAATTTGGCTAATCATACTGCAAACTTAAATAAACTTACCTAATAACAGCTAATTTTGTGTTGATGGATCCTTCTTGATTTTCTCTTCTGAATACTGATGATACCCACCTGGAGGAGGGAGAGCAAACATTAAGGCAGGAACACATTAGTGGTTATGTGCACAAGTCGCCTGTTACTAATTATTCACTTCTTATATTATAAAATCGGAACAACCAATACGCAAGCATTTGTCAAGATAAGAGAAATATATCCCCATCCCCACACACAAAGCACAGGTGATATCAACTTTCAATGTAAAGCATTGGATGAATCTGTTATGGTAGCTGAAATGAAGAGCAAATACACAAACATACCCTCTCTTCATTCATTCATTCTCACTACTGTAATGTGTGTATTCTTCTATGATACAGTGCTACCCTTCCACATCACTTCATACAAAGCCACAATTATCTGTCATCCATCTTTCACCCAAAATCACTTGACGCCACACACACACACGCACCCATTCACACAAATCCTTAACCACCAAAGGGTCAAGACGTACCTGGTGCTGCTCTGGCAGCAGCCACATCAACTGTTATGTTAACCCATACCAACTCCCACCCCTGAACCCTCCTCCCCACCAGAAATTTCAACAAGTTCTCGCCAGAAGTTACTATTTCACTTAGGAAAGGAATGGAACCAGTGTTGAATAGTGGTGAACAGTGCTTAATTCAGTGAAAACCAACTCGACAGTAACAGCTGAGTCGTACCCAAGCTAACCTTCACACAGTGAGATCCAAGGTACTCAGTGATAACTGCCCCTGAGACTCAACAACACCAGCTATGAGTAATCCGTCCACGATAGGGAGGCCTGGGACCACACCTCACTCATTTGAGTGAGTGAGGTCCTGTGACACCAGACCCCGTGGTGTCCCATGATGCTACGACACCACGTAGTGAATGAGCTGCTACAGCATCATCAGAGATTCCTCAGAACACCATCTGTGAGGGAATTACTACACCACGTGATGCCCCCCATAACACCATCTGTGAGGAAATTACTACACCACGTGATGCCCCTCATAACACCATCTGTGAGGGAATTACTACATCATCAGGCTCCTCATATCACCATCTGTGAGGGAATTATTACATCACATCAAGCACCTCATAACACCACCTGTGAGGGAACTACTACACCACATGATGCCCCTCATAACACCATTTGTGAGGGAATTACTCCACCACATCAGGCCTCTCATAACACCATCTGTGAGGGAATTACTACATCATCAGGCCCCTCATAACACCATCTGTGAGGGAATTACTACACCACATCACGCACTTCATAACACCACCTGTGAGGGAACTACTACACAGCGTGATGTCCCTCATAACACCATCTGTGAGGGAGTTACTACACTACGTGTCTGCTGTTCAATACCTCAGCGCACAAGATCTACGTGACCTCCACTGTAAACATAAATCTGTGTGTTCACTGTTTGTTCCTTTACCTTTCTCTAATGAAGGCTTTTGTTAAACCACCAATGTATGTAATAAGTCATTTATGTCCAATGTATATTTTCAGCCCTCGGGTTGCAGAACTTTTTCAATAAACCGTTATTATTATTATTACACACATGCATGCATGCACACACTGCTGATTCCTGAAGGTTCACAGCCAGGTTTTCATGCCTCAATTTTAGTCTTGATTTACCCCCTTTCTCCTATCATGTATACCTCACAATTACAATCTCTTTTTATCAACTTTTCACTTAACATTCCCTGGAACACAAGGGAAGAACTTAGTCCTCTTCTTTCAACAGGAGTTGAACCTGTGGCCACACACTTGCAATACAGACATTTACCATAAAATAATGTCATACAGTCAATAAGTTGCTATAATTCTTGTTCAGTTATATACTTACTTGATAAAATTAAGAGTGTCCTTGTACATGGTAAGTGATGCTGAAGTATCATTGTCAGTCTCCATAGCCTTCCCACTGAGTATAAAGTACAGTGCTGCCTCCAGGTACTTCATGGCCTGCATAGAGCGATCTGTCTCCCCATCAGCTATGTGCTTCAGCTGCTTAGCCATGTTCAGATACCCCATATAATCCCTATAAAAGTAAATAAAAATAATTAGTGAAGCTACAAACTTTACATTAACTGTGAAATATAACTCAGTAATATCACAATTGCAAGATAAACAAGCAAACATGACAATGGCAGACATTCAGGTTATATGCTTTACTGTTGTTGGGTTTTGGTGGGCCTGACAACTCCAGGCACTTACATTTCAACATTAAGGGCACAGGAAGCATGGCTACAACATTCCAACCTACACCCGCAACACCTAAAGTAGGTGGAGATGGCCTATCATCTTACCTGTTAATCTCTGGTAATCTCCTTTCAAAATATGAAGCATACAGTCTCTCTTGTGAATTTGCATAGTGTCCATGCAGTAGTGATCTGCAATAAGGGGAGCACTTGCTTTAAATAAATAATAAAAGTAATAATGAAAACAACCCGAGTAATATATCTGCATCTGACAGTTAACCATCTTATGGTTGTCACACCTTATCAACGTGCATTCATTATTAACCCAGCTTAGTATTTACATAAAAACAAATTCTTCGGCAAGAGGCACATGGCAAAGACCACAAATACGCACTGTTCAGAAGGTGGTCTCGCAGTGGCGAGGGCAGAGGTAGCAGGAGCAGCTGAGGAAGTGGTACTTGAGGCAGATTGTCTTTGGGCTAATGGTGCGACCATTGGAGCACTGTTGTCCAACTGAGCAGCAGATGAAGAAGCATCTGTTCCGCCTGAGTCAGAGGTTTTGGTCTGGTCACCAGATGATCTGTACGAGGCACTGCCAACTCTTGACTCATGTTCTGATGCTGGTCGTGAAGCATAGCCATTACTGTCAGCACTTGGAGTTGTACCACTTTCTTCAGCTTTGTCCTGGAAGAAGTAATGAAACTTGGTATTATATATATAACAGGTTTTTGGGTGACAGATTACCATACCATCCACCTCTGGTATTCTCATTTTATCAACAGTATTTCCTCTCATTCTCTTAGTAAGCCAGTATCATCTCTATCCAACACTTCCACATCTCCTTACTTCTGTACTTATTAACTATCTACAGGCTGTTTACTTCACATATTGCTCTTAAACACAACATTCTACTGATTCAAATCTACTGGCAACTCTTGCATCCAGTCTATATAATAGTGCTGGCTCATTAAATCTCCAGTGCTTCCCTCATCCCTACCTCGTGTGATGCTTCTTTATCTCTCTTATATTTTTCAACCCAACCATTACTTTCTTCATTTCTGCTCCTGTACTGTACTGTACTCTGGGTCAATTCAGCATTTATATCTCCACCCATTGACACACACACACACTCCTAACTGCCTCTCTTCTCTACACACTTTGCTCAAATTCAATTTTTCTTCTTGAACATTCATCCAGACTTGGTTACTGACATTTGAACTTTTTCTGAATCACCTCCAACAGCACTGTGATTGTTCCCATACCCCTGCCCCTGCTCCTCAACCCTCACTGGAACATCTGCCTACATCTCCAGTAACAACTATTTCATCATGGACCAATACTCAACCAACCATATCTTTATTATTTTCAATTCTTCATCATCCTAATATACCTAAACTAACACTGCATTTCCTTTAATCCCTTCACTATGGGAACACCATTTCAATATTCTATTTGACTAATGCCAGACAACTTTATTCAGCAGAGAGGGGACCACATGCACAAGAGGTTAAGTTCTTACACATCTACATCTTCATCATTCTTCTACCACCTTCAGAGGGTTTCATTTATCTAATAATGTACCATTATAATGTAAATCAGTGTTTGCTGTGATATTAAGAATGTATTAATGCTAAATGACTCACTTTGCCATAGATTCTTTGGTGAGAGGAGCGTGAGCCACTACCAGCAGCAACAGCAGCAGCAGCATCATCTTCACCAAACTCTGGCTCAGGGTTCACCCCAGCATCTTCTGACACACCATTGTAGCCCTTCTGGGGATACTGCAAAAACAGTTAAGAGTGAGAAGTCAGTAGTCCTTATATCTCTATGAAAATCTATGATGCAGTTAATATTTTATAGAAACTGTAATAACTATAACATTTTAATATTTGTTTAAACTCATAATAATTTCTTTTCAGATTCTTATAATAATAATAATAATAATAATAATAATAATAATAATAATAATAATAATAATAATTAACGGTTTATTGAAAGAGCTTGGCAGCCATAAGGCTGAAAATATACAGTTACATATTTGGGGAATGGCAACAACTAGGTGCCTGAGAATTTAAAGTCATTGTGTGTGTGTGTGTGTGTGTGTGTAATAATAATAATAATAATAATAATAATAATAATAATAATAATAATAATAATAAACGGTTTATTAATAGAGTTGCAGCCGTGCAGTGTGTGTGTGTGTGTGTGTGTGGCTGCAATTATAATTTTCAAAATTAACCAACATTTTGTCTGGCCACCTCCTCAAAAAGTACTGAAAATGTTTACTTGTTTGTTGGTACAGTAGTGAACAATACATGTGTGCAGAAGCAGGAGTCAAGCTCACGTGTGGAAAATGTACAAAAAATTAGGCAGCAAAGCCTCACCTGACTAGATTGTTGAGAATGCTGGAGTCTTTGAGGATATTTCAGTTGCCAGGAATCTTCTTTCTCTTGAGTCCAGGCATGTTGACTATCATCAGCCGTGCGTTGACTAGCCGACCTTATGCTGGGACTACCAACAGCAGCCTCACCAGGATCCTTGCTCTTGGACACCTTTGGTTTCTTGTTACGTTTTTCTCCAGACTCATTGTTGTTCCGGGAGCTGCTTCTGATGCTCTCCAAGCTGAAAACAGAGACACTGTAACCACAAATTCTTGTCTCTGATGACTATGTGTGTTGTAGGGAACTTTACAGCTGGACTAAGAAAATATTACTATTGAACGAACACCACTTGATAAAAGACAACATACAGAAACATCAGTGTGTCAAATTTAAACTAAATATTAACAGCACATCATAATCTCTCTCTCCCCAATGGGAATGTACCAATATCAACTCTCCAAGGAGATTACTTCCATATCTGTAGTTAATTTGTATGTTCACTCCATGTTACTTCTCTTTTTGTATTACTATTATGTTTATCTCCTTCACTACACACAACACTGCCCCATCTACTAAAAAAAAAACCTTAATATTAAGCTAAACACAACCATCACTTCACAACGAATAGAAGCTAATGCATACACTCTCCTAAAAAAAAGCCTGGGTTGCAAAGTCTCTGATTATTAAGTTCGATGCTTTAGATGTAAAACCCAGTCAAGGTCCTAACGTGTAAATCAATACCTAGTCTTCCACAGTCTAAGTTAATAACAATGACAACATGAAAATTAGCCCCCAGCTTATTTCACCTGATGATTAAACACTAACATTACCTGGGGAGTTACATTAGGTTAGTGTGTTTTAATCTCAAGACAAAAGTGGGGCTAACCTTCATGTGACACACACACACACACACAACCAACCTGCTATCATGTCCTCGTTTTCTTGATGAAGCACATTGTTCACTCTCCACGCTGCCATCTCTTCTACTTCTGCGAAGGTCACAGTCGTCACAGGAGTTGCTGCCTCCAGCCACTAAACTTGTGTACTCTGGAGGCTGACGTTCACTGTTACTCTGAAATATAACATGCTTTTAGTTACACAATTTCTTAAAGGTTTATGAATGGATACATTCATGCCTTCAATTTCCCAAATTTATAAAGGATTTTGTTGAACGACATTTAAGTAAAATAATTATACTCCTGGACTCAAACTCAGACTCAGTAACTTTAAGAATTATTACAAAAGATCTCCCCTGTTATGGTGACCAACACACATTACAGTATACCTGTCATTTATAGTCAATCTGCTGCATTTACTTACTTTTGGCCTTTTTCTATCACGAGAAGATGGTGACTTTTCTGTCTGTCTGTCTCTCTTCTTCTTTCTGTATTGTCTGGAACTTGAGGTGTCTGAAGACACAGAGGACATGGGGCTGGCAGACACATTACGTTGTCTTATGCTGCTTGGCCGACCCATTGATGCTTCTTCAGGTTCCCTGCTCAAGAAATATTTAAGATATTATGCATTCCTTTCACAAAAAAAGAATCAATAATAATTTATCATGACTCTGATAAAGAGGACTAGCATAGTGCCTTCATTTTACAGCTGCCTATCACACAAATAAATCATCATGAAAGTAACAATGTTCTCCAGTGCCCAGGTTACCATCCACCTTTCCTTAATGGTGTCACTCTTTATTTTTGGCACCGTTTTATGCTTTTTCCCGCTAATGCTGCAGAACCCAAAACAAGAGTATTACACGAACCATCAACTCCCATAAATAACTCCACAACTGTACAATTATTCATAATACTTTCACTTCTTACTGTCACCTCACTTACTACCTCATCCAGGGACAATACTGAACAATATTCAAGACTCTAGAACAGCAACTTCCTTCACTCTCCTATTTACTGCAAACAGTAGTAATACTTCCTACACCACTCTTTTATCTACTCCATCAAATGCTCCTCTAAATCCATTATTGTCACAAGTTATTTGTCTTCTCCAGAAACATGTCGCTCGTGTTCTTAATTCCTTCACTACGGGGACGCCACTTTTAAGAGTTTATTTGGATGATAGACCATTTTATTCAGCTGAGAGGCAGCCCCATACACAAGGGGTCAGTGACAAGACTTCACCTACACTTCCTCCTCCTATTCTGAGCCAACTCTGCTCTTCCCCTTATATACTTGTGGTAATATTCTCTCAATAATATTTCCATTCATTCTCATCATCTTTTTACAGAGAACCTATACTTGCTCTCTCTCATTCCTTTAGTAGCTGTCCTTCCCTCACCAACACACAGCCTCAACGTTCATCAATAATTCTATCACTATTTGAGCTTCCATTCGTAGCACTTCAAAGTTCTTCCACCCACTCCTGATGCCTTACCATTCTTAAGCTTACAGCCAAGCTCACCTCCTCTCTTTTCACTTTTCCTCTTTTGCTAAGACATAATTCAACTAGCAATTCCCTAAGATATATAAATCTATCTCTCTCTCTCTCTCTCTCTCTGTTGATTTTAGCTGTTGCGCATAATATTCTCCCTTTCACTCTTACTTCTTCTTTTTTGCAAATTATGTCCTTTTCATTCTAAACTGACTATAAGCAATTATCTCTCTGGTTGCTGATTCTATCCAATTCACTTTGAAACAACCTCTCTCATGAAGACCTTCCCTCCATACCTTTAATCTGTCAATTCCCTTACATCCTTTAACCAATTATTTCCTTTCCAAGTCCCTCTCATGCACCTTCTCTTCCTAATGCTAGATGATTTTATTCAGCAGAGAAGGGACTCTGCACACTACCAACCTCTCATTCCTCTACTCCTTCCTAATATACTAGGTCTACACTCTTGAATTGTTCTTCAATTGTTGTGCCCTTTACACATGTCTACCTTATCTCTATCATTTCCTTACATTTTTATTTTCCTTCCAGTTACATTCTTTTCTCAGCTCATCAACTTTTATTAACTTCATACACCATTTTTACCTTTTAGCATTCACTAACTGTTAATAAATCTTACCCCCCTCCAAGTAAACACTCCCTGTGCTGTCCCTTGTTTTGTATCACACTAATAACATCAGGTGACTTGCACTTTATCTTCCATCCATCAACAGTCTATAATACTGTATATCTGTCTTCTCCATTGTCTCCTTTCCGGGTGGACGTATGAATTTCTTTCCTTTTGGAACATAGTATTGTACTACTCATCATCATCATAAACATCAAACACACTCGCACATAATTGTCTCCATATCAATATATTCCTCGAACTCGTATATACTTGCCCATAATCCCTTCGGCTCTTTCATCTCCAACTCTGACACTGTAATCCACTACCACTACCTCATGCATCTGCCCAGAACCTACCTACCTACCTCCCTCCCTTCCCTCATTCATCTGAACCATAATACCGTGAAAGTACAGTACAATACCTGCCTATCATACACTCTACACCTCACCACAACATTAAGCACAACACTTATCATTCCTACTCATCAAACACCCAAGTTTTTCTTCTTCAATTATAATCAACTCATTCCATTTTGTTTGACACACCAGTCCTTACCCCATCATTTTCACACATCTCAAGTCCATCCGTTTGTGTTTCTTTTTGATACTAGGAGGTGGTATTGCCCGTCCAAAAAGTAAGAGTGGCAGTGCTACACCAATCTCCAGCCAGTGTCATATATTACTTGGGTAATAATGAGTGTGATGGTGTGAAGTCAACACCTCTGGGAACAAAATTCATCTAAAAAAGTTCAATACTATGAGAGTAACTTTATCTTCAGTCAAAATAATCAAAATCCGAAATTATTGTTGCTATTTTTTCTACAAAATCTGTAATATACATTTACCAACAGGCCTCTTAAGATGTTTGTTAGTCACCTGCACCATCATTAATGTTTGTTACAGTCACCTGCACCTTCATTAATGTTTGTTACAGTCACCTGCACCTTCATTAATGTTTGTTAAAATCAACCGCACCATAATTAATGTTTGTTACAGACACCCACACCATCATTAATGTTTGTTACAGTCACCTACACCTTCATTAATGTTTGTTAAAATCAACCGCACCACAATTAATGTTTGTTACAGACACCCACACCATCATTAATGTTTGTTATAATCACCTGCACCATCATTAATGTTTGTTACAATCACCTGCACCATCATTAATGTTTGTTACAGTCACCCGCACCATCATTAATGTTTGTTACAATCACCTGCACCATCATTAATGTTTGTTACAGTCACCCACACCATCATTAATGTTTGTTACAGTCACCTGCACCATCATTAATGTTTGTTACAGTCACCTGCACCATCATTAATGTTTGTTACAGTCACCTGCACCATCATTAATGTTTGTTACAGTCACCTGCCATCATTAATGTTTGTTACAGTCACAGTCACCTGCACCATCATTAATGTTTGTTGATCACCTGCACCATCATTAACGTTTGTTACCACCTGCACCATCATTCATGTTTGTTCCAGTCACCCGCACCATCATTAATGTTTACAGTTCTGCACCATCATTAATGTTTGTTACGATCACCTGCACCATCATTAATGTTTGTTACAGTCACCTGCCATCATTAATGTTTGTTACAGTCACCTACCATCATTAATGTTTGTTACAATCACCTGCACCATCATTAATGTTTGTTACAGTCACCTGCTCCATCATTAATGCTTGTTACAGTCACCTGCACCATCATTAATGTTTGTTAGTCCTTGCACCATCATTAATGTTTGTTACAGTCACCTGCATCATTAATGTTTGTTACAGTCACCTGCACTATCCATTAATGTTTGTTACATTCACTTGCACCATCATTAATGTTTTGTTACAGTCACCCGCGCATCATTAATGTTTGTTGCAAGTCACCAGCATCATCATTCATTATGTTTGTCACATTAATGTTTGTTCCAGTCACCCACCATCATTAATGTTTGTTACAGTCACCTGCACCATCATTAATGTTTGTTACAGTCACCTGCACCATCATTAATGTTTGTTAGTCACCTGCACCATCATTAATGTTTGTTACAGTCATCCACACCATCATTAATGTTTGTTACAATCATCCACACCATCATTAAAGTGTGTTACAGTCACCTGCACCATCATTAATGTTTGTTACAGTCACCTGCGCCATCATTAATGTTTGTTACAGTCACCTGCACCATCATTAATGTTTGTTACAGTAACCTGCACCATCATTAATAATTGTTACAGTCACCCGCACCATCATTAATGTTTGTTACAGTCACCTGCACCATCATCAATGTTTGTTACAGTCACCTGCACCATCATTAATGTTTGTTACAGTCACCTGCACCATCAATAATGTTTGTTACAGTCACCTGCACCATCATTAATGTTTGTTATAGTTACCTGCACCATCATTACTGTTTGTTACAGTCATCCGCACCATCATTAATGTTTATTTGAGTCACCTGCACCATCATTAATAATGTTTGTTACTCACCTGCACCATCATTAATGTTTGTTAGTCACCACCATCATTAATGTTTGTTACAGTCACCCATACCATCATTAATGTTTGTTACAGTCACCCGCACAATCATTAATGTTTGTTAAGGTCACCTGCACCATCATTAATGTTTGTTACAGTCACCTGCACCATCATTAATGTTTGTTAAGGTCACCTGCACCATCATTAATGTTTGTTACAGTCACCCGCACCATCATTAATGTTTATTAGTCACCCGCACCACCATTAATGTTTGCTACAGTCACCCACACCATCATTAATGTTTGTTACAGTCACCCACTCCATCATTAATGTTTGTTACAGTCACCCACCCCATCATTAATGTTTGTTACAGTCACCCACCCCATCATTAATGTTTGTTACAGTCACCTGCACCATCATTAATGTTTGTTACAGTCACTTGCACCATCATTAATGTTTGTTACAGTCACTTGCACCATCATTAATGTTTGTTACAGTCACCCGCACCATCATTAATGTTTGTTACAGTCACCCACACCATCATTAATGTTTGTTACAGTCACCTGCATCAAAATTAATTCATATTACAATCACCTGCACCATCACTAATGCTTGTTACAGTAACCTGCACCATCATTAATGTTTGTTACAGTCACCTGCTGCATCATTAATGTTTTTTGATCACCCTATCATTAATGTTTGTTACAATCACCTGCACCATCATTAATGTTTTGTACAATCACCTGCACCATCATTAATGTTTGTTACAGTCACCTGCACCATCATTAATGTTTGTTACAGTCACCTGCATCATTAATGTTTGTTAGTCACCACACCATCATTAATGTTTGTTAGTCACCTGCACCATCATTAATGTTTGTTACAATCATCCACACCATCATTAATGTTTGTTACAGTCACCTGCACCAACATTAATGTTTGTTACAGTCACCAGCACCATCATTAATGTTTGTTACAGTCACCTGCACCATCATTAATGTTTGTTAGTCACCCACACCATCATTAATGTTTGTTAGTCACCTGCACCATCATTAATGTTTGTTACAATCATCCACACCATCATTAATGTTTGTTACAGTCACCTGCACCAGCATTAATGTTTGTTATAGTCAACTGCACCATCATTAATGTTTGTTACAGTCACCTGCACCATCATTAATGTTTGTTACAGTCAACTGCACAATCATTAATGTTTGTTACAGTCACCTGCACCATCATTAATGTTTGTTACAGTCAACCGCACAATCATTAATGTTTGTTACAGTCACCTGCACCATCATTAATGTTAGTTACAGACACCCACACCATCATTAATGTTTGTTACAGTCACCTGCACCATCATTAATGTTTGTTACAGTCACCCGCACAATCATTAATGTTGGTTAGTGACCTGCACCATCATTAATGTTTGTTACAGTCACCTGCACCATCATTAATGTTTGTTACAGTCACCTGCACCATCATTAATGTTTGTTGCAGTCACCCACACCATCATTAATGTTTGTTACAGTCACCCACCCATCATTAATGTTTGTTACAGTCACCCACCCCATCATTAATGTTTGTTACAGTCACCCACACCATCATTAATGTTTGTTACAGTCACCTGCACCATCATTAATGTTTGTTACAGTCACCTGCACCATCATTAATGTTTGTTACAATCACCTGCACCATCATTAATGTTTGTTACAGTCACCTGCACCATCATTAATGTTTGTTACAATCACCCACACCATCATTAATGTTTGTTACAGTCACCCACACCATCATTAATGTTTGTTACAGTCACCTGCACCATCATTAATGTCACCTGCACCATCATTAATGTTTGTTACAGTCACCTGCACCATCATTAATGTTTGTTACAGTCACCTGCACCATCATTAATGTTTGTTACAGTCACCCACACCATCATTAATGTTTGTTAGTCACCCACATCATTAATGTTTGTTAGTCACCTGCACCATCATTAATGTTTGTTACAGTCACCTGCACCATCATTAATGTTTGTTGCAGTCACCCACACATGAAGGACTGGTTTAGAAAGGTCAGTTAGTAAACATAATGAACTACTACTCACTCTTTCACACTGACAGATGATGACTTTACTTCATTATTTTCATATTCCTCATCACTGTCATTCTTCTCCTTCTTCACTTCTTTCTTCACCTTGTCATCATCACTCTCATGGTCTACTCTCTTAACACCACCAAATATGGACGTAATTATTTTTCGCTTTGACGCATCTTCAGACGCTTTAGTATTAGGGTCACATGTTTTTCTTTTGCCTTTCCCTTCTTTAGTTCTATTGTCAAGGACTTTCTTTTTATCTACCTCTTCCTTGACTTCAGTTTTACATACATACGATGCACCATTTACACTAGATTTGGGCACTTTTTCAATAAAGCTAAGGGGTATTGTACATGTGAGTTTTGGAACACCATTTTCATATTGTACCTGGGGTATGGGCACTTTTGGTTCTGCACTAACTATGGGAGACTTGCACAACTTATTCACTACAGGAGAAGCACTAGGCCTCACCTCTAATCTGTTGTCCACACAACTTGATTCACTCACACCTCTACTTCTCTCTCTCTTACTTTTCTCACTTGTGTCTTTATTATTACAACTAACTTTTTCACTTAAATTTTTCCCTTTCTTATTTTTTTCCAATGGGTCCCTTTCCCGTCCCCCTTTGTCTTTCTTGGCCGACGTGCTAAATGCCCGGTTCACCAGTGCCCCCTTGTCTCTTGCAACATCCACTTTTTGAGAACTACTCTGGCCTCGACCAGAAGGAGAGTGTAATTCATCCTCACTTTTACTTGTTAATGATTCTGAACTTATGGCTTCACTAAGTCCTCTACCATTGGATCTTTTTACATTGTCCTTATACGTAGCACTAACATTCATGGTAGATACATGGGGGCTTGCCTGGACTGATTTCACAGGACTGGGAACACCTTTAGGTGTCCTTGATGGAGTACACTGTGACGACGGTGTCACCCTAGATTGTAACTTATCAGGGGATGTGTTCACTACATCAATAATGCTGTCACTGTCAGAGTCAGTGTCAATGTCAGATGGTACGAACTCCATGGATTTTCTTTCACGCTTTGATTTTCCATTCTCAGATTTGGCACCTATATGACTGTCTTTCTTTGAGGAGTCAGATTTCTTCCTCGGGGGCTTCTTGTTTGGCTCCCGCGAGATTTGGCTAACATTAGTTTTTGGAATTTTCTCGGAGACTTTTGGTATTCCTTTACCGGCACTATTACAACTACCCGACGACTGAGTCGCTCCAGACTTTCTGGGACTGCCTGGCTCTGAGTCGGAGTCACTGTCTGAACACAGCAGACGGCTGCAGGATGCCGCCTTCGTCTTCGACTGCCTGGCCCTGGATTCGTGGTCCTTACCATGCTTTGGCGTCTGCCGTAGCTCCGCAGATATACAGGGAGTCCTGCGAGGGTGTGGCTCTCTTTCATCTGAGGAGTCGTCATAAACCCCAGTTTTTTCTGGCTTGACTCGCCCTCTCAGCTCCAGACTAGCCCGAGTGCCACGACCACAGGGGTTGGAGGCCGAGGGCAGCTTGCTGACGCGACGGTCCCGCTTTTCTTTAGATGGCAGAGTGGGCGGCGTAACCTCCATCTGTGGCTTGCTCTCGGGCCGAGGCCCCGACGCTGACCCAGCAGCGGCAATCTTCATGAAAGAGTAACGACATAATTAAATAAATGAAATGGAAGTAAAGAAAAAAACAAAAAGGAAATTTAATTGTACAGTACAATAGTCTATAAATATCATGGATATTAACTTATAACTAAAGTTTTTAACTTATATTTCAATCATTAAAAAGTTACTCCTTTAGTTGCGAGGCAAATAAAATGGTCCCTCGGTTAACAAACACAATTCGTTCCACAGAGTCGTTTGTTAACTGAAAATTTTGTTAACCGAATCCATTGTTTCAATGGGATATTGGGTAACTGATTTCAGCTCACAGAAAAGTACATACAAAGTAAAAAAAAATGCAGTAAAGTACACTTACTTTGAGGTGTGTATGTAGAAGGTTCCTGGTTGATGATGATGATGGGAATTAGAAGTGGGGGTGGAAGAGAAGGGAGAAGAGAAGGAAGTGGGGACAGAGGAGAAATCACCTTTCAGGGGACCCATGCTTGATTCAGTAATTTCACCAATAAAATTTTAAGTTCACTAGGAGTAATTCAAGATTATTTTATGTAAATCAACACTGCACTGCGCTATATATTATTAATACGTTAACTAAATTTCAGAATGACCAATAATTTTAATGTAAAAATGCAAAAATATTCAAGACACCAACAAAATCGATGTTCACTCCACTGTAAACAGAGCCACACTGATGCCTAGTGGGCGAGTTAAGAGGCTGATGGGCGCACAAAAAAACTAGTTCCCTGTACTGCATATATTATCAATATGTTAACTAAATTTTAAAGTAACTAATAATTTTAATTAAAAAAATGAACATTTATTAAAGAGCACAACTTTCTTTATATTTATTCCACTGGAAACGAATGTAAACATAGAACAGATTACTGAATTGGCAGACTAGCCCATCAGCTGATGCTCACAATAAAGTGTGTTTGTCGTAAGGATTTCGTTAATCGAAGTTTTGTTCGTTAACCAAATTGAAGATCCTTATGGGAGGTAATTCCTTAACCAAAATTTTGTTAATCGAGCCGTTCATTAACCGAGGGACCACTGTACTTGCACTACATTGTGATGCTTTTTTCAAAATACATTTTAAAAAGTTCAAACATTTGGAATTTTGTTCAGCTCAGATGTAAATACTGTACAGTAATGAAGTGAAAGAACTACAACAATCCGACTAAGAAAGAAATTTTGTAGTAAAAGCTTGGAGACATCTACGATAAAGAAAGAGTCACATACCCCCTGTGATAAAGGAGAGTTGGTCTTCCTCTGCGTGATGAAGTTGTCCAGCTTCCACGCATTGGAGTTGCCCTCTTCTGGCTGTGGTGGTACAAGGATTCTAATGAGCGAACAACTCAATCTTCACACAATAAAATGCAGTATAAAGATAATATTAAGTACCTGCAGGTCAACCTCGCAAAAATAATTCTACGCAACCTAAGAAAATATTCCTATGAATTTCTGTATACAGTATTTTAATAAAACAATATACAGTACTGTACTGTACAGTGCTCTATAACTGGAAGACTAATCCTGAGGTGCCAGTCATGACCACCAGCCCTGAACAAAGCAACTCATGATATCCCGCTAAAGTGCATTACAGTGCCAGAGAATCCAGGCCATTTTGCTTATGGTGGCTTTACATTAAGGCAATGATTAGTTTTTGACCTTCCTCTTGTAATCACAGCTATTTATAGGGAGTGTTAGGAGCAACAGTGTTACTGGTGGCTGATGGTTCATGATACACACACAGACATAAACATTGTAAAAATTATCAACAACTCGTAGTTAACCAGGTGTTTACTCCCTGCCATTCTTACTTTTGTATTGTTACTATGATGACATTCCTTGTATGTTGTTATTATGTATCCAATGTATACCACTTATGTTACTAGTATATTATTTGTCAATTATGTGACCCATTCCCATCTCTGCTGAATGTATAAGGTCAGGCTTTTCAGCCATGTTCTTTCAATAAACCATTAATTATCATTACTGTATACAAATAAGGAAAACAAAAAAGGATAAAGATGCAATGGCATCCCTGAACTTTTGCTACACTCAACATACCCCCCACCCCCACAAAATCAATAAATAAATAAATACTGTATAGAGAAAATCTTCCAAGGAAACCTTAGAGGTGGAAGGGAGGACCAAACCAAAGTGCCGTGCTGTGTCCACTGAGTGGATCAGTACAGTATGCCCCAGCAAGGAGAGTGAGTGACCCATTCAACAGGTAGAAAACACATCAACAAATTTATACAGTGTAATACCTCTGGTAGGTGAGAACTTAGTTTGTGAGCAGATGAGTGATTCGTTGTTTAGACCCTCAATACCACCAACCACCACTGTATGTAAACCTAAATCAGTTCCTAACAAAGGTCCTTAATAAACCCTACAGAAAAAAGAAGCACTTCAAGGTTCCGTGTTATTTCAAGTAACGTATCGCAGGAGACAGTACAGTACACCTAAACCATGATATGAACTCGGCTTTGCTAAAATAAAGTACAGTACTGTACAATATTCACAACTACAGTACAGTTTTGAGCAATTTTTCAAATTACATAATTATGTGTGTAGATTACTGTATATGAAAGGGCTACAACACTTAAATAGTGAACAAACCGAGTACTGTAAAGTGCAGTATGGATTACTGACAATAAAAACAAGTCCTTGGAGTTGACTTTTGTAAGGAACATTTACTTGGGTATAACACAAGGAAGACGGATGTAATTTATTTTTTTGGGTGGGAAAACAAGTGTTGTACCAAGGCACTCACTCGGTGATAAACCCAAACCTGTCCACAATGGTCAGACAATATGAAACATTCCCCCATGATCTAAAATAAAGGATCACAAGTGAGCAAACATGAGAGGATAGTGTACAGTACATCACAGTATGTGGGTCTGTTTCTTCCTGAAACAGACAACCACTGTACTGTACCACAAACATACAATCTCTGGTTCTATACCAGATGACGGCAGGGACCAAGACCATACAGTATTGAAAATTACTGAGATAAACTCCCAAGTGACAGCTGTGTACAATTGAAGGCCGGGGGTTGGGGGCTTGGTTCCACAACGATCCTTATGTCCGTGTCAGATCTACAACGCGTAATATGTGGCAGCTGTTGCCTCTAATATCCTTTTCTTAACAACTATGGTTACAACACACAGGTAAAAACTAATCAGTGAATTAATTGGCAACTGTTATGGTCAGATGCCCTGGGTTTTATAACTTAAGCAGATATAATACAGGTTGTTTTGGCTGGTGGCAGATCATCAATTGAGTCAGGTACAGTTGACTACCAAGGTGTAAACTTATGTGTTTTTTAAGCTTCAATACTATACTATATAATAAATCAATTGAGCAAGTAGCACATAGTTAAATAAAGTACAGAATATCTTTTCATAAAAAAGCTAATACAAAACGTCATGCCTTCATTATATAAAGAGAATAATTGTTTGATAAAAACCGTTTTACACAATGATGAAAATATGTAAAACTAAGTGGACAATTTTACCCACACATTACTAACTACTTGCTGGTAACTAACTTCAAACACTTTGTAGTGGATAGTCTTGGTTGGCTATCAAAGGCGCATGAGTCCTCGCCTAACGTCAAAAGAACATCTTTCATTACCTTTGGGGAGCACTCGGGCTGCTCATCATCAGACGACACATCCGAGTCATCGCTGGTGTCGTCCGAGGTGGAAGATTCCTCCGACGTCTTTGGTGAAATTGGCGAGAGTGGGGGAACTGAATTTGTGTGACCTCCTAGAGAGGACTGTAAGTGGCCAGCAGGGGTGCCAAACTGGGTGGTGGAAAGTAGAGGTCTGGTATTGGTTGCCCCACCTTCCCTCTCCTGCAATACATTACAATGCTCTTATATGTCACCTTAACAATGAGGGTAAACGCTATGTGACTCCTTACTACACTAAACTCTCCTAAACTAAGTAACTATCCAATTTACCATTTACAACCACTGTACAGTAGTACTGTATAACGAAAATTATTAAATTCTAAGTGCTCTCACCACCTTCCCTACTACACTATTAATACTGTATACATTATACTGCACAGCATTACTCTTCAACCTTTGCAAATAATGTACAGTATACAGGTATTCAAAAAACCATCATCAGCGGAAATATAAACTGTACTCTTCTGTATTACTGATTATACAAGTATACTGTACTACACAACACTGATTACAAGTTTATTGTACTGTGTAACACTGATCCTATAAATATTATAAGCATACCGTACTATATAATACTGACTACAAATATACTGTACTAATATGCAACACTGACTACAAGTATAATGTACTAATATGTAACAGACCATAAGTATACTGCATTACTCTAACACTGTTCATAAGTATAATATATTACTCTAACACTGTTCATAAATATACTGTATTACTCTAACACTGTTAATAAATATACTGTATTACTCTAACACTGTTCATAAGTATATTGTATTACTCTAACACTGTTAATAAGTATACTGTATTACTCTAACACTGTTCATAAGTATACTGTATTACTCTAACACTGTTCATAAGTATACTGTATTACTCTAACACTGTTCATAAGTATATTGTATTACTCTAACCCTGTTAATAAGTATACTGTATTACTCTAACACTGTTCATAAGTATACTGGATTACTCTACACCGTACAGTACTAAGTCAACAAATGGTACCCACCTCGTCTTCGCTGTCCTCTGATAAGATAAGCTCATCGTTGACATGGCTTCCCTCTCTGTAAACCCAAGAAATGTAAAAATTTTATCTCACTCAATAAATAATAGATACAGTACAGATGAAACAATTATGGCTTATAAATATCCCAGACTACGAGGGTTTACAGTATACCGATATAACACAGGCAAAACAACAACAATGAAAACTTACAGGGCTTTTGGTTGTTTTGAACGTGACATTTCCAGACCTTTGCCTGAAATAATAAAATGGAATAAGTTAATCAAATATTACTCTCAAATAATGATAATAAATTAAATACATTTATTTGTGTATACAGTACAATAATAGTGTATGGTGTAATGGTAATGTTTCTCACCTAAACATTTATTTATACACATCAGAGTAGTTCCTCTCCTGATAGTTGTTAATAATAATAAAGTGACTGAGCCGAGTCATCACAGCAGTGAAGCGACACCAGAACACCTACACCGTAAACTCCATTATAATGACATGCTCTCTCTTGTAAAGCGTCATAAATGTTTTCCTGGATAACAAGCAACACAAACAACAATTTCAAATTCCAGGCAAAATGACCAGGTTCCGCTGTGATGAGTCACCGTCAGCCTTCATTCTATGACAACTGTTAAAGCAATAATTATCAAGTGACCATTTATCTCAAGTGTTAGTTTCTAGAATAGTGGGCCAAGACACGCGGGTGGCAGGACAGTACTGTTTGGTGGCGCGCTAACCGATGTGCACGGGCGGGCTCCTTAACCTACCTTGTTGGTTACCGGAGCTATGGTGGTGGTGATGGTGGTTGTGGCCATGGCCAGTCCTGTGGTTGTGGCCATGGCCAGTCCTGTGGTAGTGGTGATGGGGGCGTGGTGCAGGTGGTTGTGAGGTGACAAGAGGGGCAGCAGGATGATGTGCGGTACGGTGGTGGTGGTGATGGGCACGAGCCGTGGGCAGGTGTCCTGATGCCCTGCTGCGACGGGCAGTCAGCGGCAGCCCCCCTGGCGCCGGTAGTGGCCCCTGGTACATCCGCATCCCTCCTGCCTGCCTTACACCCTGGCCCACACACGCAGCCAGCTACAGCACCAATACCAATAGTGCGAGGCGGGGCACCCTTCACTGTACATGACACACTGGTAGCAGCACACACAGCTGTGACTCGTGTCTCTCCCGCACATTGCCAGGTGGCGCGAACACTGTACAACATGAGCACTAAACACTCAACACCAGCACAGCGCCAGCATCAACCACGGTAGCGCCACTAACAATCACTACAGCCTGACTACCGCCGCCTCCGCCGTCTTGTAGTGTCACCAATCAACAACACTGAGTGTAGAGCTTATCTGCGATCATCAGGTGTGGCACTGGCTAAGTAGAGGTTTAGTAAGTGTAGTGTTTTGGTGCGTGGCGCTGCCGCTAGGAGCGTGGAGTACGTGATGGGGGTGAGGGGCCAGGCAGAAGTGAGGGGCTGGGGGGTGCGTCGCTATGGCAACGGCCTGATCAATGAGCTCCTCGGCGTCTCCCACACCACTGCCGATTATCACGACTTTCTCTTGACGCTACCTATGGCTTCTACCCCGTGATATCACGCACGTTGCTTCCACCTCCCACTCGTGACCACATTAAACCAAGCTAGTGAGGCAGGAAGGCGGGAATCTGTGCTGCTTCACGATGAAGACCAGTCACTTAGTGGACACGCTACCACCTCGTAAATCATACCAAACAGACGGCGCCAGATGAGGAAAAACCTGGGTGTCCTTCGCTGAGGCGCGGGAAAGGGAGGGAGTGTGTGAAATGCGGGGGCAAAGGGGCAGGAGGGAATTCCAGAGCCAGTTGGGGCAAGTGTTGACGCTTGTCACAACGTCTTCACATCTTCATATAATATTATAATGTCTTTAATAAAATATAAATAAAATAAAACGAATAGGGATAAACTAGAGTGAGGATAGACCGTGATGGTTGTCATGAGGCACGTGGTGGACCATGCCTGTCCAAACCACCACCTGCCTCATCCTACCCGTAACATCCGAGGCCCTCACAAAACCGCTCCATCTTCTAATAAAACATGGCCTCTATGCTTAAAATCCATCTGTGTTATTAATAATAACAAAAACATGAGCCACGCGACCATTAAATCTTACAATTGTACAGCCGCGGAAAATTGTCAGCCTGGGAAAAGAGTCTCCCCTGAAAACCGTTTTCTGTCATGCTGGGAGGAAGATGCCTTACACCTGGCAACCGCGCCGCGCGTCTTGCTAAACAATGTGTCATTACTAAACTGTAGTGAAAATAGCAACACCAGCGAGACCATAATTACACTTACTTTTTAATGGCTAAATTGGTATTAGAGTCAATGATCGCAATTTGGAAACAACTAGTGTTAAGTAATGTACAGGAATACCTATTAAATTATTGTTGTATAGAGGTGGTTTACAACACATCAGCAGCAAGAGTTTGAATGCCGAAAATCACGCAAAATTTATCTTATAAAACTGTTCAACAACTTGTAAGAATACACATTATAACGATCACATGAACTGTTTCACTCTGTCTTCAACTGGGACAAGACAAGCACTGGACAGACCTGGAGATATAGCTAACATTTACCGTCACCCACAGCTACCCGCCGAATCATTACACACCGCATCACTCACCCCGCCCGCGCAAAATTAATTAATCACGCGAGAAACTATTGTCACATAAAGCAGTCGAGTAAAATGTACAGCCATTAGTCTGTTGTGATACACCACTCACTCACTTCCGATGATAACAACAGTATTAGCATCAGAGCTCTACCACGCTTAGTAACACCCGCCATTTAGTATCAAAGGTGTGTGGGTGTGTGTGTGCGCGTAACGCTACCAGGTGTTCCTCGCGTGTTACAAGGGGCATGATAGGCTCTGGGGCGGGGTGTGGTATCTTACTAAGTATAAATTCGTGGACAATACACACACGCTGTCACAAGGTTACTCCGATGTATATAAATGTATCTACGATGTATATAGACTTATGTAAGTATATATTATCCCTGAGTTTATACAGTATATTTAGTGTAAAATACGAATAATATAATTTTACGGCTATTTTCACAATAATAACAACAACAATAATAATAATACGTAAACAATTATCCAATGTGTATAAATGTATAAGCAATGTACATAGGTATATACAAACTGATGTACATAACAGGAGAGTACTTGTACTCACCAAAACACGGATGTAACAAGTATTATTGTACTCAACAAAGACAACAATAAAACTGTATTTTTCCGTATATTAATTAATCAGTTCCCACACCTGACACTGTAACCTTTGGCGACGCTACAATACTGCACCTCGGTGTTGTCTGTCCCTTGTGTCCGTCCATATTGTAACAAACATGAAACACGCAGTTTTGTTTGGTTTTCTGCTACAATTAATGAACAATGTGTTTGCTTTGTAACCAGACTGTAACTGTAGGATAATTATGTGCAAGTGTGTATATAATATAATACATGTATACACAACACTGGCGGCGTCTGATTGGTTGATGTGTGAACCATAACAGCGGAAATATTACCATTAAATGTATTCATAATCTTAATGTCTCTATACCTGGTCTCGGTATACTAGTACAAGGGGGGAGGGGGGACTAGTGTATACCAGGTGCTGCGTATTGTACCTGTTGTTTGTATACCTGCACTGTTTGTATGCCTGCACTGTTTGTATACCTGCACTGTTTGTATGCCTAAACTGCTTGTATGCCTAAACTGCTTGTATGCCTAAACTGCTTGTATACCTGCACTGCTAGTATGCCCGCAATGTTTGTATGCCTGCACTGTTTGTATGCCCGCACTGTTTGCATGCCTGCATACCTGCACAGTTTGTAGGCCGCCACTGTTTGTATAACTGCACTGTTCGTATGCCAGCAGTTTGTATCCCTGCACTTTGTATACCTGCAATGTTTGAATGCCTGCACTGTTTGTATACCTGGACTGTTTGTATGCCTACACTGTGTGCCTGCAATGTTTGTATGCCTAAACTGTTTGTATGCCTGCAGTTTGTATACCTGCAATGTTTGAATGCCTGCATTGTTTGTATGCCTACACTGCATGCCTGCACTGTTTGTATGCATGCACTGTTTGTATGCCTACTGTTTGTACACCTGGACTGTTTGTATGCCTACAATGTTTGTATACCTGCACTGTTTGTATGCCTGCACAGTTTGTATGCCTGCACTGTTTGTATGCCTAAACTGTTTGCATGCCTAAACTGTTTGCATGCCTAAACTGTTTGTATACCTGCACTGTTTGTATGCCAACACTGTATAACTGCACTGTTTGTATGCCTGCACAGTTTGTATGCCTGCAATGTTTGCATGCCTGCAATGCTTGCATACCTGCACTGTTTGTATGCCTAAACTGTTTGCATGCCTAAACTGTTTGCATGCCCAAACTGCTTGTATTCCTGCACTGCTTGTATGCCTACACTGTATACCTGCACTGTTTGTATGCCTGTACAGTTTATATGCCTGCATTGTTTGTATGCCTGCACAGTTTGTATGCCTGCACTGTTTGCATGCCTGCAATGCTTGCATACCTGCACTGTTTGTATGCCAACACTGTATGCCTGCACTGTTTGTATTCCTGCAATGTTTGTATGCCAACACTGTTTGTATGCCTGCACTGCTTGTATGCCTGCAGTTTGTATACCTGCAATGTTTGAATGCATGCACTGTTTGAATGCCTGCACTGCTTGTATGCCTGCACTGTTCGTATGCCTGCACTGTTTGTATACCTGCAATGTTTGAATGCCTGCACTGTTTGTATGCCTACACTGTATGCATACACTGTTTGTATGCCTACAATGTGTATGCCTGCACTGCTTGTATGCCTACACTGTATACCTGCACTGTTTGTATGCCTGCAGTTTGTATGTCTGCATTGTTTGCATGCCTGCAATGCTTGCATACCTGCACTGTTTGTATGCCAACACTGTTTGTGTAACTGCACTGTTTGTATGCCTGCACTGGTCGTATGCCAACACTGTTTGTAAAACTGCAGTTTGTATGCCTGCACTGTTCGTATGCCTGCAGTTTGTATACCTGCAATGTTTGAATGCCTGCAGTTTGTGTGCCTACACTATGCCTGCACTGTTTGTATGCCAGTACTGTTGGTATGCCTACACTGTTTGCATGCCTGCACTGTTTGCATACCAGCACTGTTTGTATGCCCGCACTGTTTGTATGCCCGCACTGTTTGTATGCCTGCATTGTTTGTATGCCTGCACTGCTTGTATGCCTACAGTGTTTGCATGCCTACACTGTTTGTATGCCCGCACTGTTTGGATGCCTGCACTGTTTGTATGCCTACAATGTATACCTGCAGTCTGAATGCCTACACTGTATACCTGCACTGTTTGTATGCCTGCATTGTTTGTATGCATACACTGTTTGTATGCCTACACTGTTTGTATACCTGGACTGTTTGTATACCTACACTGTGTGCCTGCAATGTTTGTATGCCTGCACTGTTTGTATGCCTGCACTGTTTGTATACCTGGACTGTTTGCATGCCTGCACTGTTTGTGTGCCTGCACTGTTTGTATGCCTACACTGTTTGTATACTTGCACTGTTTGTATGCCTACACTGTTTGTATGCCTGCACTGCTTGTATGCCCGCACTGTTTGTATACCTACTGTATGCCTGCACTGTTTATATGCCTACACTGTTTGTATACCTGGACTGTTTGTATACCTGCACTGTTTGCATACCTGCACTGTTTGCATACCTGCACTGTTTGCATACCTGCACTGTTTGTATACCTGCACTGTTTGTATACCTGCACTGTTTGTATACCTGCACTGTTTGTATACCTGCACTGTTTGAATGCCTGCACTGTTTGTATGCCTACACTGTATACCTGCACTGTTTGTATGCCTGCACTGTTTGCATGCCTGCAATGCTTGCATACCTGCATTGTTTGTATGCCAACACTTTGTATAACTGCACTGTTTGTATGCCTACACTGTATACATGCACTGTTTGTATACCTGCTGTTTGTATGCCTAAACTGTTTGTATGCCTAAACTGTTTGTATGCCTGCTCTGTTTGTATGCCAAACTGTTTGTATGCCTACACTGTTTGTATACGTGCACTGTTTGTATGCCTACACTACAATGTAAACTTTTAAGATGAATTTATTTAATATATATCTACCTATCTTTATCTACTTCCCTATCAATCCATCTATCTACCTGCCAAACAATCCATCTAACGACCTACCTATCAATCCATCTATCTACCTGCCTATCAATCCATCTATCCACCTGCCTATCAATCCATCTATCCACCTACCAATCCATCTATCTACCTACCTATCAATCCATCTATCCACCTACCTATCAATCCATCTATCCACCTACCAATCCATCTATCTACCTACCTATCAATCCATCTATCTACCTACTTACATCAGAACTAATACTTAATAACTTAACTACAGCTAAATTCTACTTACAATCTATCTTAAATAAATAAGCTTACTAACACCCGACACACTTAAGGTAGGGAATAATTTGGAGTCTTACGTACCTCAAGTGTGTGTGTGTCCTGCAACGTGATAAACAGGGAAAACTGACCCTGAGTCGCCGTTTTCTTTTACCTCAACAAGGAAATCCAATACAGTGAGGAGAGGAGGTGTGAGGGGCGACTGTGAGTTGTGAGGGACGACTGTAAGGGACGACTGTGAGGTGTGAGTGACGACTGTGAGGTGTGAGGGGCGACTGTGAGGTGTGAGGGGCGACTGTGAGGTGTGAGGGACGACTGTGAGGTGTGAGGGGCGACTGTGAGGTGTGAGGGACGACTGTGAGGTGTGAGGGACGACTGTGAGGTGAGTGTAAGTCACCGTGGGTGCCGGTATACCTGATGGTTCTAAAAATTATAAACAAGATAAAGGCACTAATTTCTCTCTTACCATTAATAAGATGTATCTAATTGTACCATAACTACTGCACCCGATAAAAAAAAACTGTATCATTTGAGTATTTTAAGTAATCATACATTCTCTTGAGTGTGTGTATGTGTGTGTGTGTGACGAGGGACAACAGCAGGAGAGGAAGACATTACTTAATATATAAACCTTTCTGGAGGTCACCATCTTGTGTGAGCGAGGCGCCACTACTGTCACTCAACACACCTACCTGTACAGTCACTCACACAACAGGCACGGTAGAGAGCGCGGCAGGTGTGGAAGGAGTGTGACAGGTGTGGAAGGAGTGTGACAGGTGTGGGAGGAGAATGTGACAGGTGTGGAAAGACAGCATGATAGATGTGGTAAGACAGCATGATAGATGTGGTAGGACAGCATGATAGATGGGGAAGGAGAGCGTGACAGGTGAGAGAACAGCATGATAGATGGGGAAGGAGAGCGTGACAGGTGAGAGGACAGCATGATAGATGAGGAAGGAGAGAGGTGACAGGTGTGGGAGACTCACCTAGCCTGTCGGAAGTGTGGGAAGAGTTGCGGGCAGGTTTGGACTCCTTGAGGCCCACCATGCTGGAGAAGAAGCTGTGGTCTTGGTGGTGTGTGGGGGTGTGCACGATGGCGGACATGGGATGCTTCACCGTCATCTCTGACATTATCTGCTGGATGGTTTTGTCCACAGCCGCCCCCGCCCCGCCCTCCACCTTGATGGGCGGGAGGGAGGCCTTGGCCAGAGCCAACGTTGACTTCCTGCCGCCCCCACCATCGCCCGGCCCAGGTCCCGGCCCACCCTTCAGGTTGCCCTTCACTTCGCCATTCTTAGTGTGGGCGTGGTTGGAGGGCGGATGAGGTGGTTTGATGGAGGAAGGCAGCGGCTTGGGCGGCCGCGTGGTGCCGTTTGGAGAGGACTGTGGGGGCGGGAGTGACCGCTGTGACGACTTGGACGACCCAGGGCCGGGCACCTGTGGCCCCGGGAACTTGAGGGCGTCAGGGTCGTGGAGGGGCTTGGGCGTGGGCGGCTGCTGGTCCACGCCCACCATGTTAATCTTACTGCCGCCACACCTGGCGAAGTTGTCATACTTGCCTAGTATGCGCTCGACGTTGTTGTCGTGGATACTGACGTTAGGAGAGCGACGCACTACGTCGAACACCACCGGCTGTGGGTCCCTCTCTTGTAGTCCCGACGACACCTGGAACTCCCTTATCTCTCGCGCCTGCTGCTTCAACCTCTCGCGGTCACGGTCCTTCGCTGCTGACCGCTCTCGTGACGACATGCTGTCGGGGGACACTCACTTAATATAACATGTTAATAGAACAACAAGCGTGCAACATCCTCTCAAACAACAGCAGCTACACCACCGCCAAACAAATCAACTAACACCGTAAAACTTCCCAGTGTTTACCTGATCATAACAACACACATACATACAGTATACGCCCACATACATAATTATAAATACACACATACTCGTATACCCACATACACACAAACATACATATATAAACACACACACACACACACACACATTATAAAGTGCTGTGTGTTTTACAATGAAGAGCTGCACAACACAATACACTTTGAGTTATTCACTGGACAATAACACCGATGTTTACTGTAGGTGGACGACATACACAGTAAACGGCATTTAAATATCATAATTTGATTTTAGGTGTACATTGTAGAGAGAGAGAGAGAGACTGACTTTGGTACCTAAAATCAATTGTGTTAAGTGAATCTCTCTCTCTCTCTCTACAATGTACACCTAAAATCAAGTATCAGTAGAATATCACCAACATTATCATTAACTATAAATTCGTTTACCGTCGTTCGTGTTCTCGTTAAACGCTTACACCACCACTTTAAGTCCTCGTTAACCACGTACCCTACACGGTCACGCTCCGTTACAACGCTAAGAGTACAACACTGTATCGCGGCTGGACCCGTACGAAACCACAGTTACGCCACGTTACGTCACGCCTCAGGTTACGTTGTTACCCAACACCGACATAACAGAGTACTACTCGTTTCCTACTTTGGGATTACCTTACGTCAAGATGGGTAGTTGTAATCAAGATGGTTCAAAATAGGTCAAGACAGGTTAAGACAAGTCAAGGATAGGTTAAGACAAGTCAAGGATAGATTAAGACAGGTCAAGGATAGGTTAAGACAAGTCAAGGATAGATTAAGACAGGTCAAGGATAGGTTAAGACAAGTCAAGGATAAGTCTTAGGCCAAAATAAATGGATAGGTTGGATCTAGTTTTGCAGCGGAGCAACAACATAAAATATTAACTGTACTGAGTTTCCCGGAAATAAGACAGCTACGTGACAATAGTGAGAGCACACACACACACACACACACACACACACTTACTTAAAGTCAAGAAGGTCGTACCAGGCCATCAGGGTTCAGCACTACACAATGTCAACTCACACACAGTCTAACTCTCCACAAACGTATATTTATGTGTGAGCCAAGATACCCGACGCTCCGTACAAGCAACCAATCATACGTAACCTTACATGACAAATCAGTACTGGTACACATCTTAACCAATCACACGCTAGTTTAGGTCACGTTACCTAACCTCACGAGGGTTAAACGGACCGTCATATTCTAATAACGTTTGGAAGCTTTTATTTTGTCCAGGAATAATGACTTAATATAATGTAAAGTGTTCATAATATTAATAATGACAACCACGACTTATATAAACTATTTTGTCATTAATAACCAAAACAAAATTAACAGTCAGATCACCTACACTTTCCCTCCCCCCCCCTCCCATCCTCTACACCCTCCCTCCACCCTCTATACCTTCCCTCTATCTTTTACACCCACCATCCACCCTCTACACCCTCCCTCCACCTTCTACACCCTCCCTCCACCTTTTACGCCCTCCCTCCATCCTTTAAACCCCCTCCACCATCCCTCCACCTTCTACAAACTCCCTCCTTCCGCTTCACCCTTCCCTCCTCCCTCTACACCTTCCCTCCACCCTCTACGCCCTCCCTGTACTCACTACACCCTCTCCCTCCACCCTCTAAACCCTCCCACCCTCTACACCCCCACCACCCTCTATACCCTCTCCCTCCACCCTCTACAACTTCACTACGTCATCTTTTTTTTACCAATAATATAATTAAAGTTTTCGTTAACCACCCACAGCAAGTTACCCCAGAGAGAAGGAGTGGACTACCTCAGTTCATCTGCTAATCAGGTAGTGTGACCTGACTTGACCTCACCTGACCTGAACTGTCTTTACCTTCTCACGACAGAAAAGACTATTCAGGCTCCTCGCGTTTCTCCAGACCAATTAATTAAGCTAACGTATGAAGAGGTGCTAGTTAAACTATTATTACCACACCATCCTATCGCTAGTTAAGCTAATTTTACTACCATCTACAACAACTATAGTGCGTTTTTCTCAGCTGTGAAGAGATGCCCCGCCCCCTCCTCAAGAGTTACAGCTCATTCGCTGTTGCAAATTTGTTCAATTTCGTCCTCAAGTAATGATGTATTTCTAAACGAGTTTATTCATAATGACAGCTTTTGACGAGAAAGATATTTAGCTAAATTATATAAAGATACATAAATTAATTATTTCAAACATGAGAACGTAGGAAGTTTATCAGAAATATTATACAAGAATTAACTGATAGACTGGTAGCAAATCGATGCTTTCGGAGGAAGCATTTAATATATATATATTTATATATATATATATATATATATATATATATATATATATATATATATATATATATATATATATATATATATATATATATATATATATATATATATATATATATATATATATATATATATATATATATATATATATATATATATTATTACACAATAAGTCATACTAAGGCAAATTACGTATCAATAAAAATACATTATGCAAAAACTAACATTTTAAAAGATCAGAATCACACGAAAATATGAAGTTGTTCAGTTATATTTCCCGCCTCTGCTGACGACTGTTAACAAGAGCAACCAAGTCTCACATTCATCCACCAATTTTCAGGGGCCGTGTAATATTTTCGTGTTAGTTTTTGCATAATGTAGTTTCATTGATACGTAATTTGTCTTAGTATGACTTATTGTGGGTAAAAATAAGTATTTATATTAAATGCTTCCTCCGAAAGCGTCAATTTGCTACCAGAGTTTATCAGTTAATTCTTGTATAATATTTCTGATAAACTTCCTACGTGCTCCTGTTTGAAATAAAGAATGTACTGTATGTATCTTTATATAAATTAGCTAAATATCTTTCTCGTCATAAACGGTCATTTCAACGATTATGAATAAACTCATTCAGAAATGCATCAATACTTCAGGACTAAATCGAACTGATTTGCAACAGCCAATCAGCTGTAAGTCTTGATGAGGGAGCAGGGCATCTTTTCTCATCTGAGAAAAAACGCACTATACTACTAACAATAATGTACTCTCCTCTCCAATAACATAAAATATAAGTCGGGAATGTTTTGGACAGGTGAGAGGTAATTACTGCCCGGTGAGTATATTACACTACATCACATATTACAACTATATCTTGCGCTAGTCAGGCCGCACCTCGATTATGCGGTTCAGTTCTGGTGCCCTTATTATAGAATGGATATCAATTCACTGGAGTCGGTGCAGCGAAGAATGACGAAAATGATTCCGGGACTCAGAAACCTTCCATATCAAGATTGATTAAAGAAACTAACTTTGCATTCCCTAGAAAGACGAAGAGTTAGGGGAGATATGACAAAAGTATCTAAGTGGGTGAAAGGAATCAATAAAGGAGATATAGATAAAGTTCTTATAATATCCGAGCAGGATAGGACTCGTAGCAACGGATTTAAGTTGGATAAGTTTAGGTTTAGGAGGGAGATAGGAAGAAACTGGTTCACAAATAGGGTGGTAGACGAGTGGAACAAGCTTAGCTGGGACGCTGGAAAGTTTTAAAAGGAGGCTAGATGGATTCATGGACGATAGAGAGTGGTTGTAACTCCCCACAGTAGCTGCCATGCACAAGCCAACCGGCCTATTGCAGACTCGCTTATGTTCTTATCACACAACACTAGTGGTTGATGTCTGCCACGAGGGGGACACCTGACCCACAATGTTCACCCACCAATAAAAGTCTTCATTCTTCTCCCATCCATGAACCCTGAGTCTCATGAACCTGTGCGGGAGGGAGGGAGGGAGTCCCGGAAGCTGGTACGTTAAAGTGGCACACGTGTTAACATGTTGGCCACCTGATGCGTATGACTATTATTCCTTCCCTCCCTCACCACCACTCCCTGTCTGTCTACCTCCCTCACCATCACTTCTTGTCTCCCTCCCTCACCATCAATCCCTGTCTCCCTCCCTAACCACAACTCCCTGTTTGTCTCCCTCCCTCACTACCACAACCTCACCACCCCCTTCCTCCCTCTCTCTCTCCCTCCCTGTGAGGACGCACCACAGTCAAACATATGTGTGGCCGTGGAGTGTGGCCGTGGTGTGTGGCCGTGGAATGTGGCCGCATCCAACCCCATCATTTTCACAAAACCCACAAAATAACAACAAAAATGGTGTCGAAACAGCTGTGAGACTATACCGTACACCTGTAACCTCGACCATCAGCGTGCACCTGTGAACACGACCATCAGTGAGCACCTGTGAACACAATCATCAGCGTGCACCTGTGAACACGACCATCAGTGTGCACCTGTGAACACCTCGACCATCAGCGTGCACCTGTGAACACCTCGACCGCGTGCACCTGTGAACCTCGACCATCAGCGTGCACCTGTACACCTCGACCATCAGCGTGCACCTGTGAACACTACCATCAGCGTGCACCTGTGAACCTCGCATCAGCGTCATCTGTGAACACGACCATCAGCGGCACCTGTGAACACCTCGACCATCAGCGTACCTGTGAACACGACCATCAGCGTGCACCTGTGGAACACGACCATCAGCGTGCACCTGTGAACATGGCCATCAGCGTGCACCTGTGAACACGACCATCAGCGTGCATCTGTGAACACGACCATCAGCGTGCACCTGTGAACGACCATCAGCGTGCACCTGTGAACACTACCATCAGCGTGCACCTGTGAACACGACCATCAGTGTGCACCTGTGAACACCTCGACCATCAGCGTACTGTGAACACCTCGACCATCAGCGTACACCTGTGAACACGTCAGCGTGCACCTGTAAACACGACCATCAGCGTGCACCTGTGAACGACCATCAGCGTGCACCGTAGACACGACCATCA